TTTTTACATCTTCTTTAAAGGACCCCTCCTAGCGGGAATCTGCCCGGAACATCTTCTTTTTTTACTTCTTCTTCAAAATCTAAAACCCCTCTTCGCGGGAAAATGACACATCTTCGAGGGAATCTGCCCTGAACATCTTCTTCACCCCAAAATTATGCAAATTGAGCTGGATCTCCTTTTGCTTATCTACTGACGGTTGCAGAATATTCCGTCGAAGAGGAAAATAACAAAACTGCGATGTCAAATTGTGGGGAATGTCATCAAATGAGCCATTTTAAGTATTACGTCAAGAGCGCCAGCCTGACGCCGGACCGGTCTAACAATTGCAAGGATAAAGAACAGACGTGTGGTAGACCAGGGTTTCAGGAAATATCCACGGCAGATTGGCGCAAGGGACTAGATACATATAGCTGCGAGCGACTCCACACCAGGACTCTTACTGTTGAGAGAGATTCATTTTTGTTGCATACGGAAAGCAACCCTCAAAATCAAACATGTAACAAAAGAGTGCAAAAACTGTCACTTTTACACGATTGTAGGATAAAAAAAATAAATGTTCAAATAAATGCATGTTTAATAATATACTCGTAGATTAAAAATTGTTTATACAATACAAGTTCAATAATAATACAATAAATAACATTTAAAAACCAAAGAAAACAATTTTTGGGGACATCTGAAATATAAAACGGAGGACAATAATTACATTGTGGTAAAAAAGTAATATCTAAGTAAGAATATTTTAAATGTAGGTAATATAAAATAAAATACGAATCTTTACTAATTTTAAAAATTTTCAAAAATCCTTCACTATTGTAAAACATATGTAAGTATTTGAAATAGAATAGCATGTTAATTTTACACTTAACAATTTTTACATCAAAAAAGCATTGCGAAGGCAGTATAAGGATAAATTAATTAAGGTTGATATAAATAACGAGACATTTCACATATATACTAGAAAAGAAGTGGATGTGACCCTCTTGATATTAATTTAACCTTTGTTTAAAATTTTAACATCAACAAACCTCTTAATATATTCCTTTGAAACCGGCAAAGTTGAAGTTTCCTTTTATAATTATTATATCTACGTAGAACTTCAATGTATGTTACAATTGCAGCGTACTTTTAAGCAGAAGAGTATTTTTGGAAAATAGAAACCTTTTTCTTCGTATCGGAATCATATCCGCATATCAAACTATCTTCTGAAGAAGCTACAACGGCATTGGTTTGAGATTTTCTTGACTCTTGCTGAAGTATTTATCATCGATGTGTTCCCTCATGTACAACGTCTTCACGACAACATCACCGTGGATGTAGAGGGAGTCAATCTGATCGACCGGGCCTCTAAACTTGAACTCTCCTGCTAACTTTCCGTCAACCCAAACGGAGAAATGATCGTCGTTCTTCCGGATAGCCACATTAAAGGTCTCACCTGGACCGAAGGGGAACGCAGGAGAACATTCTTCTTTACCCCACTTACCGCCAAGCCAGGCGTTTCGGACGAAGGCTAAGGTATCTGAAATTTAAAAATGTGATTGATATCACAAGACACACTGTTTAAGTAGATATTTCATAGTGATAATTCAATAGATTGATTAGAGTAGTGGTTCCCAAAATGTGCGCTGAGGTGCCTTATGAACCACGGATTATTGCAAAAGCCTTCATAATTATTTATTTACTTTTTTTCGTTTGCGGGTGAATATGATAAGATTCGACATATAGGAGAGCTGGTGTAAATCTATAACTGCCATCAATCATTACCTTTCGTTATTGCTAGATCGCGTTCTACAAATATTCGAGATTATTCTCGTAAATTCAATTTTTTTCTCGATAATTTGTGTCCATGTAAAGGGCGATGTTGCTTTAGTTCTCTTTTACTATTTTAAATAAAAAGTTTTATGATTCTTGTAATTTCCAATGATATACCGGTTTTATTGAATAGTAAGAAACGCTGCAAGGGTACAGTTAAAGAAACCAATCAGCATTACATGGTTGGATAATCTCGTGATTTTTTTGCCAGGAAGTTGAAAGAGCTGAAACAGCGCAAATGTACATTTTTCAAGAATGCATCAAATCGAGAAATGTAGAGAGAAAGCCTCATACCAAAACAGAAGAACTTCCTATCGGCTGCTGTAGACATGGTGAAGATTATGGTTTGTGAATTTGTTAGCAAACTACTTTCAAAAGTGTCTTTGTCCAGTAAACCAATAAATACAGCATGCGGCAGTGGATCTCAGCGATCAATTAATTGAAAATCAAAGAAAATGAATTTGGATTGCAACTGGATGAGGCTACAGTTAATAATAAGGATGCTCATCTGATATACTATGTTCGATTAATAGATCGTTACGACATAGCTGACGGCTCAGGACATTTTCGAGATCCTTCGAGAGCGCTGGTGTCTGTACTGACGGTGCTCGTTACATGGCTATTATAGAGGATTAGATTCACTTATTCGGAGCAAAGCTCTTGGTGCACTGTGGACAAATTGTATTATTCACAGGGAAGTACTTATGTCAAATTATCTGAATCCCAAACTGAACCAGGTCTTAGAATGAGTAGTGAATGTAGTCAATTTTATAAAAAATTGAAAGTAATGTTTTTCAAATAACTAAGTGAAGATGTGAGAGCCAAATACTCGTCTACTACAGCAGTGCACGATACCTCTCTCTTCTATGATGTACGTTAAAACTGTGACAAGAAATTTATATTTTCCTTAAGGAAGAAAGAAAAAAATTCCGAAAACTTTGCCGATGGGAAAACGTCAGATTAAAAAAAACTAACATCATTGAGAAGAAAAAATGAATGATGGTGCCAGCAACGATTATTTTATCACATTGAAGCAGTTTTTAACCTCAAATGGAGTTGATTTCTCTCAAGATACAACGTAAAATCAATATTTGAAGAACAGTTATAAAACTTAGTTTTAAAAATACAAAACAAGTGAAATTTTTGAACTTTTGACATGAAACTGAAGTTACTCTGTAGCAATAAGATACCATCGTTAAGAAAGTTGTACAGTTACATTAACGAAAGATTAAACTTTACTAAGCCTAACATATTGTCAACCATTTTTCATATGAAGAGATACTTACTTATACATTTTAGTTGCGCGATTTCATTTACTTACATTTGATCGCTGTAAAATATGTTGATTTGTTTTCAAATCAAAATTAAGGTAGGTGTGCACCGATAACTGTTGACGAACTCACGCGAACTTTACCACAATTAAGTTAGATAAAGATATAATAAATTAGGTTAAGCTGAATTACATTGGACTATACAGGGTGTTAAAAAAAAGAGTGTAAAATATTTAAGGAGTAATAGTATGAACCAAAATAAGCAGAAAAGTCTCAATAAACATGGGTCCGCAAAGTAACGGTTGCGGAGATATGGAATGTTTTATGTTTTTTAGCCCCTTTTTTTATTTTGCAAAAACGTTGTGTACTTTCATATAATAGTTGGTTGATGTTTATGAAATAAACAGTACGTATTTGACAGTTGTTCTCAGTGCACAAGTTTTCTTTCGCTATGGCTGGTTACTCTAACGCAGAATTAACAGACATGCATTTCATGTATGGTCAACCGAAGCGCGACGTCTTTATGTTGACGCTTATCCAAATCGCCAGATTCCTTCACAACGCATGTTTGGAAGAATTCACCAAAGATTGCGTGATACCGGTTCCTTGAGCAAACAGTGCCATTTATCCGGAAGACCAAGGTCGGTATCCACTCCTAGAGGAGAAGAAGAAATTCTAGCACTGGTAGAGCAGAATCCAGGTACGAGTGTGCGGAGAATATCAGCCGAGGTAGGAATTAGTGGTCCTCTTGTTTGGAGAATCCTTCACGAGCAACTGCTTTATCCATACCATGTGCAACGAGTACAGGCCTTAAATCCAATAAATGATCATCAAGCACGTTTGGTTTTTTGCCGCTGGTTTCTACGTCGTGATGCTGAAGACTCTCGTTTTCTTGCAAACATTCTTTTTACTGATGAGGCTGGGTTCATAAGAAATGGAGTGTTTAATTTTCACAATACGCATATTTGGGCCGACGAAAATCCTCATGCTTTAATAGAATCTGGACATCAGGCACGTTTTTCATTAAACAATTGGATGGGTATTGTAGGTGATAGTTTTCTAGGTCCTGTTGTTTTACCAAACCGATTAACAGGCGCAGCTTACCTCAACTTTCTGCAGAACACACTGTATGAGTTTTTGGAAGACATTCCTTTGAATCAGAGGCACAAATGTGGTTCCAGCATGATGGTGCTCCAGCTCATTTTTCCATGGCCGTTAGAGAGCATTTACACCAAACTTTTCCACATAGATCATAGATGGGTAGGAAGGGCCGGACCTGTTTTATGGCCTCCAAAATCGCCTGATCTGAACCCTCTAGATTTATTTGTTTGGGGATATTTGAAGACATTAGTGTATGGTACTCCTGTAAATGGCCTGGAAGAGCTGCAGCTACGGATTAATCAAAAGTGTCAAGAAATCGAAACCAAGGAGGATGTTTTCGAAAGAGTTCGAATATCATTGAGACGAAGATGTCGAAGAGATGTTTAGACGGAAATGGACGGAGGGCACTTTGAACATCTTCTGTAACTTTGTTTTTTGTTTGTTAAAAGCTTCCTTTGTCGGTTTATTCCTAATAAAATAAAATGTTTGAAAAACGAATAGTTGTCCATATCTCCGCAACCGTTACTTTGCGGACCCATGTTTATTAAGACTTTTCTGCTTATTTTGGTTCATACTATTACCTCCTGAAATATCTGTATTAGAAAACTAGTCCTCAATTAGTTTTTATTTATTTCATTTTGCGTCATGTTTAATAAATCCAATTAAATGTCAATGAACATTTTTATGGCATGTAAATGTTATTTACAAATTGCACTTAAAGGGGCTCGGCAGATGCAAACTAGACTGAAGATAATTTGAGTATTATCTACATTATTTTCTGAGCAATATGATGCAAACACGTCAATATTGGATCATCATTAATTGTGAATGTTATTTGAGAACAATTTTTGGAATATGTAAGGAGGCTTCTTGTAATCTTGTATCTAATGTAACCGCTATTTTTTGTCACTTGATACAAAAATTGCATATAAATCACAACAGCACGTTTCTTAGTGTCAAAATTACAATGTCGCCATTTCGTAAAGCTAACCTTCCAAAGATTTGTGTTTCTGCCATCAAACCGCAATCGTCCCAATTTAGGTTGTTCATAGGCTAGAATCTCTCTCAAACTTGACCGTTATTAGATGGCGTCCAGACAAATCTTAAACCCTATCCCCTTAAATCACCAAAGTTTGATACTAACGATTACGTCTAGGTCATTAGGTTAACGGTCATCAAGATTTACTTACTGAATCTGGGATTTAAATGCAGCGGTATGATGGGATGGGGCCACAACTGCGATCCTTTCTGTAAATTAATGTAGAACGCGGAAGGCAGAATTTTCACCCGGCCGCAAATTTCCAATTGCCAGTTTTTCTGAAATCCCTTTGGTAATGTCGCTGTCACTGGAACGTCCTGAAATTATTTTTTTATATATTTTCAGAGAATTGTTGGAAATGACTAACAATAATAATTATTATTATTTATTTATTTGCCCAACAAAAAGCTTCCTCGTACAGAATAAAAAGTTAAGAAACAATAGTGGTGTTAAATGAAAAGTGTAAATCAATAATAATAATAAAAAGAGGAGAAAAAAATAATTATGTGCTAATGTAAAACTGTAAAAGGTTAGGTACCTAGAAGCAAATATCAGTTGCCACTGAAATTGTTGGAAGAAAACAGAATTAATGAATAAAAAGAAGACACAAAAACTTTAATGCGATTAGTTTTAATAAGCTTATAGGTTATGTCACGTCACATCGATTAGATATCGTATTAACATTATGTGACATGGTAAATAGAAATGTTTATTTAGATATAGAACCAAATTACAAATTCTGATATTAAAATGTTCCAAAAGTAAACAACCAACCAATGTTATGAAAAGTTTGAATAAGAGAGAATACTACTCATAATACGTCTGTTCTTAGTGAAGGAATTTCAAAAGTCGATAGCAGTAATTCTTGATCGTAACCTTAGTCGGGATATACATATATCATTGATTTTGAAAGAAAGATTATATCGATTACAAGATTATATATTGATTGTCATAAATAGAATATCAGATCAATAACTCATACTCCAACTTAGAACACACCAACGAAAAATACAATGACTTTAACGCTGCTTCATTCGTGATTTACAGTATCTAATAATGAGGCCTAGCAACATACTCGATGATTTTAATATTCTAAATATTGCTAAGTAGGTACTTAGTTTCAAAATGTCTTTCCAAGATGACATAATTGAGTTATATGTACTCGTAAATAAATAATCTAAATCATTATTAAACATAAAATATAAAATCAAATCATAATTACTTCTTCTATCATGATGTAAAGCAAAATAATAAAACGGGCAATAGTTATTTACTAAAATTAAAGTTTTTAAACAAATTTCTTATTAACTAATGATATTTTGGAAAACAATCACTTCACAGGCTATATGCCCCGGCTGGTATGGAATTACACCCACAATGTCTAGTAAATAACTAAGATCATTCATCAGGAGAGTCACCAGACATAGACCGATTTCGAATTTAATTTATAGTATTTTTTAGTGAGAAATAGTAAAATTTTAATGCAAAAATCAGTTAAATCTATTTTGTAACAGTTGAGGACAAACCGAAATAACTAAACTAAATTAAAATAATTAAGTAAATATAAGTATCAGAAAGACATACTTTTAATACGTATATAAATTCGTAAAATAATTTTCAAAATTTAAACTTTTCAATTATTTTACAAAATTTTGTACTGTTTGTGATAACAAACGACATTTACTTCGTATACAGATTTATCTGAAAATGTCTTGATCAAATGGAAAATCAACGTCCCAATTTTTTTAAGACTATGTAGGTAGTACACCGTGTCGTCGAAATAATAGTAGAAGTAGTAGTTTTGTAGAGTGACTGTACCGTATCTGCTTAATAGTATAGTCTCAAAGATGGATATATAATTCAATTTATTAGGTAGTTACATAGAGAATGAACAATATTAATCATTACCGTTAGACTGGAATTAAATATGCAAAACTGCAGTAATTAGAAGGGCAGAAATTTAGATTATATGTGTAAATGTAATTAATTGAGTAAATTCTATCCTCCCTGCACACAAAATCTAAAGGAAGCTACTAAATACATCAAAAGTTCAAGTTCCACAGAGTTAAAATGAAAGAAGTAGTACACCCTTAAAGAAAAAAAATCGCCTTATACATATTATAAAAAAGATAAGTACTGCGTACTATCAGCTGTTAAACTTTTAGTTATGTTTTAAATATTTTAAATACACATATACGCAGCAAAATTAGTGGCACAATCCAAAAAAAGTTAAAAGCAAAATTACTTCCAAAATAAATCTATGACTTACATCATCGCCAGCGTCTAAATCAGAACTGCTGATATTCTAAAAGAGAATTAACCTTTATGTTATAGTTAGACGTAGAAATCATATTAGCATTAAAAAACCTATTGTTTAATAAAGTAACACTTCTTTCGCAGATAAAATAAAACAAGAACAAATGTTAAATGATTTGTTTAAATGTTTTTATAGTGGATATTTCGTAAAGCCTTTTGTAATATGGTGATATTTACTGTTGCATTTTGTATTACCAGATGAGATAGACTAAGAGTAGAATTTGGGTTCAATTTCACAGCAATTTTCATTTTTATGTACCAAAAATTTGTAGTCATGAGCTCAATTCAATCAGCCGCAACGCGGAAGAAACAAACGTTGATATGTCAAAAGTCCATGCAATGTCATCGAATTGTCAAACATTGACAATTTATTCAGGAATAAATTCACGAAGTTCTTCACGAGTTTATTCATAAAGGGTTTGGTTTTACACTGCTACAGACTTGATGAATTTCTTTGACGCATAAATCAGTTCTACCGACAAATTAAAAAAGCAAATTTCAAATTTCATTCAAAAAAATTTCTTATCTTTCCACATATACGTAATGATACATACAAAGCGGTACCCTTTTGATACTTTTTATAAATATTAGTTTTTGTAAGCAACAGATCAGTAAAAAAAAATACAACAGTATTAAGCCACACAATTATTTACATAGTCCAATAACATAACCTCATTACTGATCTGAGACTGAAAATTTGTTGGGTTGGTACTTCTGAACTTTACTAACAAATTCACGAAAATTAGAACATGTTCTAATTCGTAAAGAACTTCATGATGTTGTTTGACAGCAGATTTAGTGCACTACACGTGTCCAATTTCTTAACCAAGCTACTTCATTCATGAATAAATTCGCAATGTAGCAGCTATTAGATAATTTACAGTCCGTATTTGTTGACATAGAATGTCAAGAAGACCTTGCGTCACTTGTTTGGAATTAACCCGCATTCGACACCCGAGGCAGAAAGACATTGGTGGCGCGGCGTTCACCGTAGCAGCTTGCAGTGCATACAGTGTTTAGCAGTTACGAAGACGTATTTCTTCGTAAGTGTATCGTTCTGTGCATCAATGTAATTTCTTATTAAAATAAATCAATGGAAATGAAAAATAAAAGAAAGGAACTTCATTCCCAGTCGAAGAATATTATACAGGGTGTTTGGGAAAAGTTTGTACAAAATTTAAGGGGGTGAAAGTAGAGCCAAAAATAGTAAAAAAAAGTTCCTATAAACATTGGTCCTCCGGAGAACCATTATCGAGGTATGGCCCTCCAAAGGAGTCTTATCATTTGGATATTTTTTGAAATGAAACTTTCTTTCTGATTTAGATAACGGAATGAAAATTGTATGTAATAATCATACCATAAGCGTCTTTAACTACCATAAGTTTCATAAAAATCGGTTATAAATAAGGATAGTTTTCTAACTACTCAACAGAATTTTTTCGATTTTTTTTGTTCTTTTGAATTATCAAGCAAATAATATTATTTTTAATGAATTGGACTTTTTTGAAGAAAAAATCTACTTTTTTTGTCGAATTCTGCGTAGTTTAGTCAGGAATAATTATTTTTTTAAAAATGTATGGCCCAGAACAGTAACTTTTTTAAATACATATTTTCAAATAGTAGGCATCTTTCATACTGACAGTTTCATTGTAATGATACTAATAATTGTCACTTTCGCATGCTATGATTTAAATTCTTACGTTTCTTTATTTTCTTAGTTGTATACCTCATACATTTTTTCTTCAAAAAAGTCCAATTCATTAAAAAATAATATTATATGCTTGATCATTCAAAGAAATAAAAAAAATTCGAAGAATTTCTGTTAAACGTAGTTACAAAACTATCATTATAAGACCTCTTTGGAGCGCCATATCTCAACAACGGTGCTCCGGAGGACCAATGTTTATAGGAACTTTTTTTACTATTTTTGGCCCTACTTTCACCCCCTTAAATTTTGCACCAACTTTTCCAAACACCCTGTATATTTTAATATTTTGAAAATAACGCAGAAAATTTCAAGGCACGCCTCTGCCGCGGTAAATTGTTACAGTAATTCCGATAACAGAACTTTATTGGCTTATTCTTTTCTTGAAATTCTATTTCAACAAACATTGTACGGACTGTATTACAAATACACAGCGTTAAATGGCACATTAAATGTGTTTAGGCATCGTGTTATTTTGAATTTTTTGTCACAAGTACTGTTAACTTTTTACTTCACTACGTCGTCAAAGGTCATCGTTTCGCATTGTCTCGTCATGACAATTACGAATCAAAATGTTTGTTACTAAAAAAGTACCCTGGTAGATCCGTTTTTGGGCTGCGGATTCGGATTCAGCACCAAAAAACACACAATAAGACCTAGGTACTCATGTTTTAGGTACAGAACCTTTTTTGTGTGGCTGTGTTATTACCGAGAATTGGTTTTTTCCATCACCGCAGCGACACGGTAGGTACGTTAATAGATCAATCAATTTTTGAATCTCGAAGTGAATGCACACAATTCTGATTATAGAAAGTCATAGAGGGAACACCCAGTATAATTTTTAGTTTTTATTTTAAATGATTATGACTATTATTATGACTAGATCTTGTTCCCTGCAATTGCAGGAACTGATAACAAATGAGTTAAGTCCATGAGGTTAGATATTTTTAAATTTTTAGTATCAAAGACCATAATGAAATAATAAAAGACGGTCTTTAGATCAAAGTACATAATAAAATAATAGACAATTTTTAAAAAGTGCTCATTACCAACCAACACACCCCAAGACAACACTTACAGAACCAGAATATAAACAAAAGGCAAAATGGCTTTCCGAACCCCCTTAACCCATAAAATAAATCTCCTTTAGGGCACTTTAGAAATAAAGCGGTCATTACCAACTGCTGAACGGTATCCTTGTTCTGGCCATCTCCCGTGGGGACGACGTAAGGCGCATTCTGCGGCCCAATATGCGGATAAATCTCGAGTTTCGTGTATTGGACATCCTCCACGTCGACTTCACCATCGACCATGAGAGTGGTGATTTTCGAGATGGGCAGACGGAAAACAAAGGCGCAAACATGTTTTCCGTTTATGGACACTAGAAATTCGGATTCTGTAACGACAATGTCGATGGCGAACTTCTTATTCCTGTGCAGGTCGAATTTGGCTATGGAGGTTGTCTCTTCGTCTCCCCATTTACCCTGGATTCGAGTGTTTCGAACAACATGTCTAGAAAAAGAACATAATAATTGTTAGTCTGAAAATGGTAGAAGTAATTTCGTTCTAGTATCTTTGATACTAAATATTTTCCTTTACAAATATAAGAATTTCTATATTAATTTCGAAAACACATTTATTTCTGTTCTTCTGTGAATTTATAGAAAAGTTCTCACATATCCGCCAAATTGATCCACTCAAAAGTTGATGAACGCCACGTAACCAGAAATATGTGCATACGTGTAAAGTCCGTACGATATTTGTTGAGATAGAATTCGAAGAAGACCCATAAGTCACTTTCTTGGAATTAACCGCATTCGACACCCGTGATAGAAAGACACTGGCGGAAAATCCCTGCCGGGGTAAATTGTTGCAGTAGTTTTTGGAATTCTATCTCAACAAATATTGCAATATCAGAAACAGAAACCACAAGAGTTGATCTGATGATCTAGCTGACCGTCCACGACCTATCCAATTTCTACGAAAAGTGATGTCTAAGAACTCCCATTTTTCACGCATAAAATGAGCTGGCGCCTCATATTGTAACAACAAAGTGTTTCCCCAAAGATACAGGATCATCATACGAAAATGTTACATTTTATTTTAGGTTTGGTGTCTGATATTCGTGGGTAATTAACTGACATTCGCGAAATGTTATCCAAACTTTTTTAGCGCAGTTCAATTTAGCGTGTCATTTCTCGAGTAGGTATTGATTGTTAGGTCTTCGTCAAGATTTGATAATTTCGTTGCGCATTCCCCGGTACTCTAAGTCTTCCCGCATAACCTCCACGATATTCCTTAAAGTCACAGGTCCCTGTAACCTTTTGTACAGCCGTCACAAATGATCGCGGTAACCCGAACATATAGAATATAATAATATAAATATTCACAAAAAAAGCGATAACATTAAGTTCATATGTTGCTTATTTTAAATATGCGGATATATTTGCTTAAATTCTTTGCATTTTTTCCGACTATGCCTTTGAAGTTATTTAAAATAAAACTTGGGAAAAAATTATGATTTGAGTAGTTCTACACGCTGTTAAAAATATGAGTCAATTTAGAAATCACCCTGTATAATAAACCTAATGTCTACTGAGAAAAATGACACCGACTTACAACGTAGTTTTAATTATAAAGGTTTTCGTTTTGACTAGTAAAGGACAGTTGAGGCAGAGGCACATTATTGTCATTTCTTGAGTTACATATATACATATTTTTAAACTTGTAGCAATCTCTTCCAATATTTTTATATTGTGTAGTTCGTGGCAATGCGTGACTACAGATTAAAATATTATTTCTCTAATTAAATTGAAATTTCGTATATAAATCAGATAGATGCTCATTTTACGAAAAATTTTAATATAGGGGTGATGGCCGTATAAGAAAGATGACTAGTAAAAAACATTCAGGTAAACAATCACAAGGTGGCGACAACAACTCGTACAAATCCTTCATAAATGTTTACAAGCTATGTGACCCCTGTGCTTTGTCAAATAAATATTGCGCGACTGGTACTTGTAACGAAAACTTCCTCAATCTTGATGTCACCAATATTAATGATTCGTTTACAATGAACAATGACAAACCGTTACCCCTATGCTTGAGGTAATACGACCGCTGATTGGTTGAATTACACCAATTTGCTTTGATATCATCATTAATCTAAAAACAGCGTTCTTTCAACACGGATTCGAAGTTCGGAAATAAAAAAAATCGCAAAGGGCCAGGTCTGACGAGTGAGAAGGGTGAAGGAGGAGTATTCTGATTTTTGGCACAAAACTGATGAATTAACAAAGTTGAGTCCGCGGGAGTATTATCATAGTGCATGACCGCTACAACTCTGGCCTCTTTCTTCGGATTTTTTCACGTATCCGTTGTAAAACGCCTTGATAGTACACACGATTCACTATTTCACCTGGAGGCAAGAATTCAAAACACACAATTCCAATAAAATCGAAAAAAAAAACAACGAGCAAGGCTTTGACATTGAGTCGAGACTGACGTGATTTCTTGGGCCGTGGAGATCGTTTGCCAATCAATTGTGATGATTGAACTTTTGTCTTAATGAGATTAAGATGTAATCTCTTCTGCAATTTCTCCGACATTCAATCGGCGATTTGTATTCACCAGATCTTTGAATTTCTGATCGTGGGAGTCATCAGTTGGAATAGAAGGCCTTCCACGTCGAGGTTCATCTTCAATTGACTGACCACTTTTATGTCGTGAAAAACATCCGTAACATTGCGCACGACCCAGAGCATCATCACCGTAACCTTGTTTCAAAAGTTAAAACGTTTACGCACAAGTTTTCCCCAGTTTCATACAAAATCGCACATTTCAAAAATCGGCAATAACACTTAAACACGTTGCACTAAAATAACAATATCACGAAAACTAAATGAAATATCAACAATCCAAAAACATTTGGTTACAGAGTAAGTTATGCGCAGGGCAATGCTGCAACCCGCATATAAAATATCGTTATTTTCTGAACAGAACTTCGTTTCGTAGTATTTTCGATTTGGCAGTATAACGCCCCGAATTTCTATACGACAAAACTATAACAATAAAACCTGGAAATAAAATTATTCTCTTTATCATAAAGGATCGATAGTTTTCGTTGGAACGCACTATATACGACTACGCCTGGTATAACTACAATTGAACGCACTCCTAAACTATAAAATATACGAGAGTCAGCCAAATCTGACGAAAGTCATTTCCCAGGAGAACTGTGCGGAACATTTTTATAAAATATCTTACCTTTGAGATATACGTGGGTTTATGTGGACTGCTATATCACTTTCTTTAGTCTTGCCACATAACAAGTTCACTGCAAACCTGCAAATAAACAGAAAAGTCAGTAATTTTCCTCGTTAGGTACATCTCAATGAAAAAAATATTTAGTGCGGAAACTAATTATTATTTTGCAATACCATACTTTTTATTTTAAAGAAATAAATTGCAAATTTAATAAACATTATACTAGAAAGTTTGATATAGTTCTTAGCACTAACAGCTTTCAGTCTAATTGAGAGTGACACTGAGAATGTTATATTTATTATAGTACGTATAGCTATTCAGTTGTAAAAAAATAAGCATTTTTAATGTCTAGCTTACAAACCCATTCTCATTTACAAATAAAAATGACTAAAATATGGGCAAAAGATGAATCGAGTGAAAGAGAATGAAAAGAGAATTCAATTTCTATTTAAGTTACAGGGTGCTTTATAATTTGAAGAAACTTCATATTTTGAGCAAATAGAATATTGCTTGTTACCATGTTATCATTGTCCCAATTCACGCAAGAAGTAATTTTGATAGAAAACACAAGTTTTTAATTAAAAATTGTAAGTTTTATATTGTTTCATAAAGTATACAGCATATATTAGGGTTGTTTATAGAATAGCATATAGGGAAAGGCCTTCATGGTTTTGCTGGCACATACGCAATCTTTTGTCGAAATTTTCATAAACGTTTTGCATAAATGCGGCTGAATTTCGTTGATAAGCGGTCAATTTCCTCCTTCAAGGCATGGGTGGTCGTGGGCTTGTTGGCATAAACCTTACATTAAAATTTAACAAGAGTAAAAATAAATTTTAAATTAAATTCTGCTGTGAATTAATATTACTATTCAATTTGGTCAATGAAAAAAAAGTTCGGTACAATTGTAGGGGCGAGTCATCCACAATGAACACCTTGTAGTACTTCAATAAACTTTAAATCATGGTCAAAGAAGACCAGTAATAAACCTATATCATGTACCAAATTTGGTTCTTCTACGGTAAAGTGTTGCAGATATTATTTTTTTTTCGAAATTTAGGGCCCCACTTTGGGGGCTAATAACTCCTCAGGGGTGCAACTTTGTATGTAGGTAATTTTGGTTAAATTACAATATTTTGGACACCCCTACATGCACGTGCCCTGTGTCGGTTCTTATGCGGGACACCCTGTATATTGCTCAACAATGAAAACGCGTTATGCTTTCGCGTAGCGTTCCATTTCTAATAATCCTGAACTGTCAACTGTCACACTGTCTTTTTTTTCGTTGATAACACTCTTCCGCACAAATAGCGTAAAATTCAAAACTAGACTTGCCACTGCGCATCCTACCCTCAGATCGTAACAATATTTTTATAGCCACTGTATACATAAAAAATAAATTTTGTACATTAAAAATATTATTTCAATCCCTATTTAAAATTTACTTACATTTGTCTTTGTGCTAATTTTAAGTGATAAAGTTTGGTTCAATACAAATTAAATCGTTATCACAATGGTAATTTAATTTTAAAGCTGTTATATCCAAGAGTGGTACACATTCAGATTTAACATATACCAAATCAAGGTACAAAACAATGTTAATCAATAATTACTTTTAATTATTTTGGTCCCGGGAGTCAAAAAATAGCACCTAAAAGGTAATTAATAATTTTTGTGGCAACATTACTATCTCGGAATGACTAGAACATTATTCGTCTTTAAGACAAATAATTTCCCGATGAAATATCGAAACATTTTTAGATTTTCATTTTATCGTTTTCCGATTTTATTGTGATAACTATACCTACGAAAAAAAGTACATATTTAAAGCCATTTTTGTTATATCCAAATATAATCTGATTCACAGTAGGATGTTTCGTTTTTTTGGTAATATTATTTCTTCATACAAACTTGTTAAAATTTTGCGGAAGTAGATTTCTTGTACACTTTTGAGTCTAACAATGTACAATATTACTGTTTAACGACGATTTAAATAATGTTTAAATCATCATCAGGTAAATTTTTTAAGGACGTTGCTACTGTATTTACAATTTTTGATAAAGGATTTCAAAAATTTTCCAAAAAACCTCAATATTTTTTTCGATAATTTCGGATCATGCCCCAATTTAAATCTCTGAACCTGTGACTATTTATAAGATAGCAATATTTGTAGTAAAGTTACCACATTACTCTGAAAATGATTAATTTTAATCGAGTGGTAAATATACAGGGATGGCCAGAAGTACGGAATAAAATTCATATCTTTTGAATGAGTTAATTTTTTTTAAAATGCCAAAACACGTTAACTGATTTTGATTTTTTCCCATCTTTCGGTTATATAATAATTAATTTTTCTTCAACCGCCTAACCCCCAGCTACCCCTACTTTTTTTTCAAATGGAAACATAAGGCATGAGGGGGCTCGTTGAAAAGCTTATAGAAAACCGAATCCAGCCATACCAAATAAACAAGTTTTATTTTTTCAATAGCAAGGTTTTTAGGGTTGTATAAAACACCTACTTAACAAGTGAAATAAAATTTAATTATCTTCAGTGTTATCCTCCATGAATTTGCACAGAATAAAATAAAGAATTTGAAACTGTACCTATCACTGCTAACGCAAAAAAGATATATTTTTTATGTTGCGTTTTTTTGGCACCACTTACTTGCCAGGCTTTCTGGTTAATTTTTCGCTTTAGTTGTAAATTGGAGTTCGAAACGTTACTATTGTGTCAAAATCAAGTTATTTACTGAATTGCAATGGTATTGTCGGAAAGGCAACGCATCGAAATCTTGATATTGCTTGGATGTGGAGACAAAATAAGAAGTCAGGCTGAAGTGCGCGATTTATTTAATGCGAAATATCCCGAAAACCAAATCTCGCAAGGGACAGTTAGTAAAATATTTCACAAATTTGAGGAACACGGTACAGTACAGACTTTGCCCAAAACTGGACGGGCACGTGCTTTGAATGAAGAAAAGAAATTAGACATTGCATTAGAACTTGTTGAAAATCCTCATACTTCAACTGTTTCATTGGCCCGCAATCACGATGCTTCTCGAACTGCAATTCGAATGTTTCTGAAACAAGAGAAATACCACCCCTATAAGGTATGTCTTGTCCAAGAGCTTTTGGAAGACGATTATGATAGGCGATTACAATTTTGTGAGGAAATGATGAGACGGTGTGACGACAATAATGGTTTTCAACGAGACGTACTTTTTTCGGATGAAGCTACGTTTTATTTAAATGGAGTGGTTAACAGGCACAACTATCGCTTTTGGTCCCAGGAAAATCCACACTGGACATGCGAATCGCATACGCAGCATCCACAAAAAGTTAATGTATGGGCAGGTATCATCAACAACAGAATCTTGGGCCCATTCTTTTTTGAAGAAAATCTTACTGCCGCACGCTACCTGGATTTCCTAACATTTGACCTGATACCTGCTCTAGCTGTGATTTTCCCTCATGAAATTGATCCAGATATACCGAATGAAAGAATTTGGTTCCAACAAGATGGCGCTCCCCCACATTTTGGTATTGATGTTCGAAGATACTTAGATGAAATGTTTCCAAATCGCTGGATTGGTAGACGGGGTACAGTTGAATGGCCGCCAAGATCCCCCGACTTAACACCCCTGGATTATTTTCTTTGGGGATATTTGAAAGAAAGAGTCTACCAGGACAGACCGGATAATATTGAGAATTTAAAGAACAAGATTAGGGCGGAGATGCATAATTTACCAGCTGAAGTCATTCAGAATGCTGTGGACAGCTTTTACTATCGTCTTGGAGAATGCCAAATAGTGAATGGAGGACATTTTCAGCATTTGCGACATTGAGTTTATTTTTGTAAATTATCTAGTTGTTTCAATTTCTAAATGAAAAAAAACTTGTTATTGAAAAAATAAAACTTGTTTATTTGGTATGGCTGGATTCGGTTTTCTATAAGCTTTTCAACGAGCCCCCTCATGCCTTATGTTTCCATTTGAAAAAAAAGTAGGGTTGCTGGGGATTAGGGGGTTGAAGAAAAATTAATTATTATATAACCGAAAGATGGGAAAAAATCAAAATCAGTTAACGTGTTTCGGCGTTTTAAAAAAAATTAACTCATTCAAAAGATATGAATTTTATCCGTACTTCTGGCGATCCCTGTATATGTAGGTAAATATATATGTAGGTACTACTTTACTCTGTATCCTTTTCCAACTTTATTTTATTGTGAGACCTAAATCTTTTGAGGTAATGACATTATGTGCGTTATCTGCATGGATTAATATTGTCCACGGAAACATTAGTCATATTTGGTTAGGTCCTTTCCGGTGTTTGAAGTCATACTCCTGCAAATGTTGAAACCATCTTGCCACTTGGTGTTCTAAGTTCTTAAATTGCAGCAACCACTTCAATGATCAGTTCTCGAAGCGAATGGCTGACACTTGTGAAAATCTCTTAATTGCAGCAGCAGCAATAACTCTCTCCTGGCAATGCAGTAGTTCGCCTCTAGCTTAGAGAGGTCTTTTTCTACTTGCGTCAATACACCCCAATTCCAGTAGTACTAGCGTCAATATTGGGATATGATAGGATTTGAGAAGAACAGCTTCTGAAAAGATTCTTTATGCTAGTCTGTTAAAATTTTATGCGTGACTGTTTTCAGTCGTGTTTCAGGGTTTGACAGTTCCAGCAAATTTTTTCACAAACTTCCAATAATAAGTGCAAAGTCCCAGGAAACTCCTTAACTCTTGATACTTGACATTTGCAGAAGGTTCTAATTTTCTCTTCGTCAGTGTTCCATCCATTAAAAGAAATAATATGACCTAAATATTTAACTTCCTTTTCATTAGCATGTTCTTAAGACTTAATTTCAACTTCTCTAAATCTTTGAAACAACTACACTTGCTTCTTTGCTCCTCCTCTCTCAGTTGAATAATTTCTTCTTCAATAATTTCTTCAAAATTCTTCAAGAGATTTTTGAATCATACTTTTCCAAAAAATATTTAATTACTTGATTAATTATTATTTCTACTGTTTTTGTTATATAAAATGCACATTTTTAACATTTGAGTTGAAAATAAAAAATATTTCAGAGATTTATAAAGTAACCATTGATCGTTATTTTGAAAATAATATCGAAATATTATTTAATGTTAAATAATACCCGAATTGAAATACATATGTGTATTTATAATTATTTAATTGTTTTAAAAATATTTTTAATATTTCCTATTGGGAACATTGATATAACATGTAGGAAATAAAGATAAAAAATTATTAATGCTAATAAATACGTATTTTTTTATCACAATGAAACTTAAAAGCTGCATTTTTCGCAAACATGCGTATTATGATGCGTAGATAGGTAAGTACTTTTTATTTTACCTGCTTTCTTAAATTTTTGGTTAGACAAAAATAATTTCATAAATACAACTCTTGAGCATAGAACTTGACTTAAAGTCCCTAGATATTGACAAAGTACTCCAATAACGGCAATCAACTGACATTTTGGAGCAAAATCCCTATTGCCAAACTTGAAATATAAGTTTGAATGTACAATACATTTTTATAAAATTAATTGTGACATATTTTGAACAGTTTATTCAGCAATATTTTAATCTAAAATACTACAGCTATAAATATTAATATTTTTTTATAAATATAATTAACACAAAATGACATGTCAAACAGACATTTTGGAGCAAACAAGAACAATCGGTTGTGGTACCTATCTGATTAATTTTATTTCACTGATTTTTTTTTACTTAATGCAGTTTATCTTCATTTTATATCAACTCGGATAATAAATGATGGAAATATTTTCAATAGTCACTGAGTGCAAAAGTACAAAGAAGTAGAAAACACTGAAAATTTTACATTTTATATAAGAATTCATTTTGCCTATTGATCAACGCCATTGGACAAAGCTGCCAAGCCTGTCCTGATTTCACATTTGATACATCAAGCGCCACCTTTACAAGGCGAATAAAACTAAAATATATATCGACCAATTTGAAAATAGAATTCTCATATTATATTTCCAATATTTCCATTAATTCATTAAATACAGAGCTTGTAAGCTAAAAACTATATTCATTTTATTTTACTTGTTACATAACTAAAACATTTAAATGATTTAATTCTGGCATGAATCTACATATTTAATGATATGTATGAAAGGAAGACTATTTTACCCACTTTCATGTCAAAATAAAATTGTCAATATCAATATTGTCACGGCCAACAGCTTCTCGTTGTCGGACACGTTGTTATCTCCAAAATAACATTATTATCTAATCAGAAACATATATTTAATACAAAGTAATTTACAAACCTTGTGCATTCAGGTCTCACGTATCCATTAAACCTTATACAGGATCCGGCCTTGAGGGGTGCAGGTAGGTCTTCTATATGTGGTGGTTTCTCCAAGATGACAGGGTGCTGTACAATAACATATTCGATAACGTCAACATCTAATTCCATATTTATTTGTTTATCTATCAATAGTAATTATATGTAGTTCAGTTTAGTAGATGACAAAAACTTGAACATTCATTGCGAATATTGCCATTGAAAGAACTATTATTTACTGACGTTTATCCAAGTTATACAAAAGGTCTCTAAGGATGACTCGATATCAATGATCACTGCCACTGAATGAAACCAATAGTTGGAAACTTGAGATTAATTTCAGTCAGAAATAATCTGTTAAATCGTAGGGTATATCTTATAATAATTCACCTGTATTCTTTATAGATTAGTAGGTAAGTATAACAGTGTATAGTATTGATATCTATCTATTCAGTACTCAGTCTTTGTCATCAAATTGTTAACAAATGGGTGACTCATTGATTATGACATAACTATTATTAGTAACAGTAAGAAATCAACCACAAAAAACAATGTAAATATAATCAGATTATGTTTACCTTATGAAAGTACGATAAATCTCATATGTAAATTAATATTAGAAATTCGTTGAAATTTTACTTTTAAATTATCCCCATTACTTATTTTATGATTTCATAATTTTTGAAAAAGTAAATAAATTCGCTAAGGAATAAATCCCAGCATTGATTTTAATAACTGTTTTCGATGCAAATATTAACGCAATTTATTATAAGAATAAAACAAATTATTTGACAATAAAAAAGTGGATTTTTTAAATATCGCAAAGAATTAATATTGTTCCGTAATTTAAAATAATTTACCTACTTCAAAACTATTTTGTGAAAAAACAGTAAATTAATTTTAAATTTAGAAAAAGTTCATTTTATTTAAATTTGATATTTATAGGTCGCTTTTGTTATTTTTTTTTTTTCAAATTAGAAAGGAAATTGACGAACTGGTTTTACTTCCCAATGTTGATTTTTACTTAATTTAATAGTATCAATTTAATTTACATACTACAATTTTGACACGTTTTTGTTTACTTAATTTATTTTCTATTTTTATTTTAAATATTTAAAGAAAAAGTTTGCGTCTTTGTTTGTATTATAAATTTATTATTATCGTGATCAATTTTTTATTCTAAATATTGGTAGTGCTAAATTTTACCAATAAAATGGCGAATTATCGTGTAAAAAAGTGTCAGAAATGTATGAACTGTGATAATTTTGTAGTAGGACCGTTTTGCAAAAAAAAAAGACAAAATATGGTACCTACCATGTTCATCAACTAATTAATATAATTCAAACAGTAGACATATAATAAAATATTTACATAGCTGCCCTAACTGTTAATCAATCCTTAACATACTGTATATGGAACACAAAAACAAAAAATTTGCGATCACGTTTGATGTTGTCTTTTATGGTGTTTGACGTACGATCTGAATTAAAATTTGGTCACGCATTAATTGCATCCGATATAACTAAAAAGGTGTAACAGTAAAATATTTTGTTTTTTTTTTAATTATTTTTATGCGAATTTACTTTTAAATTAGGTATTTCTATAATTTAATGATCAAAATTTAGTATTATACTTATTTAAGCAATAAGCAATTGTTTAGAGGAAAAGGGGGAAATTTCTAAATAACAAATACACCATACCGGGTGTATTTTTTAACCTGAAACTTTCAAATATCTCGAAAAATAAGCACCCTATGAAAAAATTGTCAATAATCAAAATTTAATCATTCCGCGGGGGAAATATGTTACTGCTAAAATTAAATTAAAAAATTTGAAATCTTAAATAGGATTCCCTAATTTTTATTGCAGATTCAGATTCAACGGCTAAAAGTACGTTTGATTTATCTGAAACATTTTTGTCTGTTCATGGTAAATGGCGCTGTAATCTACTAAATTCAATTTTTCTTAATTTGTCCTACCGAGAACCTATCCGATTCTGCAATCCAGTGAAGGTTTATCCGCTAGGCGCTTGGAGCGGACACGCAGGGGCCCAGGGTCCAGATGGACCCGGAAGAACCAGGGCTCATCCAGAATTTCTAATTATAAATTTCGATACGAAAGAAAACCTTGACGCATTGTCATATATAGAAAATGACGTACTATAGAAACCTACTACTTGTGATACTACCATACGACAGTTTACCAATATAAATCACGAAAAAGAATGTTATAATTTTTGTTGTTAATTTTTAGAATGTCATTTTTATTTTATTATTATGTATAATTAATTATTTTCTTTTTTTTTAAGAATACCTACTGTTTCATTTTTTTAATTTTATATATTTTTGCAATAAACATATTTTGTTTTATTTCCTAAAATAATGGCCAAAGAATATCCACCAAGGGGCATATAGGCAGATACAGGAGCCCCCCTCGGGTCTGCCAATGCCAAGGGGGCCCGCAAATCTTTTGCGCCCAGGACCTGAAATTACCTTAAACCGGCACTGCTGCAATGTATTTACAATAAAAAAATACCAAGTTTTATGTAAATACTGGCAATTCATTACATCACCAATTTTGTAAATTTCGAATAACTGGGAAATTGTTCCCTGTAGAATGTAAATGGCTGGTTAATAAACTACTTTTCGCGTAACTAGGAACAACGACGTGGACATAGTAGTTTTCTGTTCCCTTCGGGGTGCTTGATGAAAATGACTTGTTTCTTAAAGTTATTTCTTTATTTCTACGTTTGTTTTGTGTTTTTGCGGTCATAAAAAACACGAAAAAATAAATAACCCAAATGTTTAATGCGAAATGCAAAAAAAATACATTCATTTGAAAGCAGATTTATTCAAGCACTTCGATAAGTCAAGAACGAAGGAAATCGCTTTGACTAAATATATCAAAGAGGACGCTTGTTCCTGGGTTACGATAATAGTAATTTCTTGAGTCAGTCATTTTCCAGTACATAATTGAAAATTTGAGAAATAAAATTTATTTTATTTTTTTTTACTAATTTTGATTATTTACAGTGAAAACTTGCTATTTTTTATTGCAAATGTAATACAGAATCATATAGGTATAGGTTCTCAGTAGGAAAATCGAAAAAATTGAATTTCATCGATTGCAGCACCATCTATCATGAAAAAAATATTTCACACAAATTCTACGTACTTTTAGACGTAAAATTCGAATCTGCAATAAAAAATGGGTATTTCTATTTAAAATCTTAAATTTACCCCCCTGCCCACCTACAATAAGGGATGGGGGAGAGTGACTAATTTTAGTATCAGCATATTTCCCCCGCGACACGATTAAATTTTGATTATTGATATTTTTTCGTAGGGTGCTTAGTTATCGATATATTTGAAAGTTTCGCGTAAAAAAAATACACCCGGTATATTTGATTAAATATTTGAAAGATGTAGATATATCCTAATCAAGAGTGACCCAAAGTAATAGATAAAATGTATGTATTTTTTGTTCATCAGCTCGAATAACAGCAAACAAGCTCAACTACTCAACAATTCTTTGCTTTTGACACAGTTAGATCGGCTGTTCCTGTCAAGATGAGGAACTAAAGACATCTCCATCTATTTTTTTAAGTTGCAACCGCGTAACATTGGTCTGATCCTTCCGAATTAAAAAATATCTGTTATGAAGAACTCGTGCTTTTAGTTTATAAAGGTTTATTATTTACACATTGTCTTCCTTTTGCGGTCACTATATCTATGTTGAAACTGTTTTTTTATTTTTGACAATGTTTTTGTTACAATCATTATAATCATGAAAATGATAATTGTACTATTTTTGGTTTGAATATACTGCTGAGGCCAAATGCTTCTAAATTCGGAAAAATCGAGCTTATATTTTTGTGAAAAAAATTATAGATAACATTTTAAACAAATTAGCAGAGTGGGCAGTAATGTAATAAAATTTTTAAGCAAATCGTTGCTAGAAGCTAGAAGTATCTTTCGAGCATGTATCTAAACATAAATAAAAATTTATAAGCCCAAATAAAAACTCTTGTAAATACTTTATATTTTAAATGAGTAGGTAGGTACTAAGATAGAAAACCACATACCGAATGAATACTATACTACAATCGATTTTGACCTTGGCCTTAATTCAAGGTAGGTACTATTGTGTATAGTTTGCCTATCAGTATTAACACGCACAGTTAAATGTAACACAAGTTATTACACTTAAAACTTTCAGAAGATCATTAAAAAAACTGTACTCACACTAGATTTTACCAAGGATTCATTCCGTGCTTCTAAATGCCCCTCTTTGACTTTTTTCCGTGGAAAAAAACAACAGGAACACGCACCACAACCACTCTTTCTTCGGTCTACGTTTTTTCGTTTGTGTTTACTTATTTCTGGCATTTTTATTGACCAAGCATCTACTGAGGTCTAACACCAGTACATTTCGTTTTCATGTAAATCAAAGCCGCGAATCAACAGCAGATATAAATAAATATAGCGTCGAGGTTTTGTAGACTATAGGTGTAACCTTATTCATTTAAACAACTAACATATACCTTCAGTTTATGACTAATTTCTATTTGGTTGTTATCTTCAATGCTACTGAACCAAATGACGGAATCGTCTAAAAATGCACGAAATGAATTATGAATGAAATACCTAATTGAGATTAATTATTAGAGGTTATTAAAAGTATTATGTCGTCACTTATTTAAGGTTTTGATTTATATTTAGAGATGATAGTTATGTTTGCCCGAAATACATTTTTAAGGATATCCTAAATAAATTACGTAAAATAATATCTCCCATAGGCACCTACTTCTATAAATAAAGTATTTATCCTTGAAAAATAATTCAAAGATTCATTATATTATACATAATCTGTGTTGACAAAATAAATACAAAAAATTGCGTATAAGACTCAAAGCTATGTCCACCACATTTGTTAATTTGAACAACGCATAATGTAAAACTAGAGATGTAAACATCTCTCTATTTTTTTCTTACATGTAAACACAACACTGCGTGTAATAGGCGGAAACGTGAAGGCAACCAAAATTCAAGGCGTTGAAAATAGCGGGCCATTGATTTAAAAATACTGGACATTCATTAGAGGAATCATTAAAATTCTCAGAAATTTTCAGTTGGGTCCTGTGTTGCATGTTTCAACCCCGGTCCACACTTGTGTAGACTAATAATTATTCGAGAATTTGAGAAATATGTATGTATTCTAATGTCGTCTACGCCTTTCGTGTGATTCTGGAGCAAATTTGCAGTGAAATGAACTGAACTATGTATTATATAAAATTCAGTTCTTTTGGTGATTTTGTTTTTTGTTTTTTTTTCTTTTTTTTTTGAGCAAACAATCCGCAATTATATATTTTAAATATGAAAAATTGCACAATGTAATAAATAAAAAACTAAATGGACTGTTTAATATTTTGTTACTATTTATATCTGGTTTTTTGTCTACCTATTTCATTTTATATCTGGCTTTTAAATTGACTACCTATACACCTCTAGCACAAATACGAGCATGGTATAATTTCGTTTTCGCAATTATTCTACTTGTAGAAAATTTGATCCGGATACGTACTGCAGCGTCTCGAATTCTATTACTTCCTCATTTACATACTCAAAGATAAAAATCAAGTTACCTTACCTTATATTTGAGCTCTACGCAAGCCATGGTATCCATTCTCCTCTTACATTTCTAGATTTAATGACATAGCGTGGAACATAACCCAAAAGTAACAGTGCAGTTGTGGATATGCAAATAGCCATTACTATTTTTTAGGTATTTCAATCAACTTCAAGTTCATATTGTGTTGGCGATATTATCATATTTTTTATTATATACACAAATGTAGCAAAAACTACCACCACAGAGAAAAATTTGTTGGAATTTGTCAACATTTCTACCCTAATTTGGCTTAAAATATTGCACAAAAATCACTTTATTTCTCCTATTTACAATGAAAACTGATAAGAGCTGTTTGCTAGCACAAATTGTTCAATTTTATTTAGATATATGGTATCTCTTATCATTAAAAATATCAATAGAAATAAGAAATCTGATGTACGTTTAGACCAAACTCAGTTTTTTAATCCTCCATAAATTCCACTTTATTTTTAAAAATAACTTAAAAAACGTAATTTTATGGACGCATTATAATGTATATACAATTATTCAGTTACTGTTACAAAATTACATTTTCAAATAGGTATTTATTTCAAATCTCAATTTAATAGATCTTAAAAAAGACGGAATTCATATCAAAAATAAAACTGATTATTTAAAATTTTGACACTTTGAAGTAGGTACCTACCTACAAAATAATGATCAAAGTTCACAGAAATCAATTCAAAATTCGCCTGTTTCCGATATTCGCAATAATTATACAGAAAAGCCCATATAGGGCAGTTCCCACAAAACACATAAGCCTTTTTTCGCGAGTGAATTCGTATGTTGTAACATGTGTAGTATAAGTGAATGAAGAGATTTAAACTACATATGAGAACTAAAATCAAAAGAGATTGAAATAGTAACTACAAATGAGATATTTACCAATATTCAGTCACGAAAAAAAAAACCTATAAAACAGTTCTACTAATATAAAAAGAATTCACCAGCTCGATTTTTCACCGATCTTTCTAATACTTCTCGAGAGGACTCCACAGGCGTCGCGATTGCTGCTATATTATTCCAGAGACATCCATGACGATGCGAACGACCAAGCGGAAATTCATGGATGTTTTCAAAAATTTACCCGTCAAGTCACTCAGATTATTTCTGCCAAGAATCCTCCTTCCCCTCGGACGACGACAACAACGTATTCCACTAGGCCGCTGAAGAGTGCAAGGATGGTGAAAATTTTTCACCCCACTTTCTAAAATGTGGCGAAAGTAACATCCTACAGATTTCAAATCTACATCCTTAAATGACCTTAGGGTCAGTATTAACCCCACATACTTTATGTGATTAACCCACAACAGTTTTAGACTTTCAACTCCTCAAAGACAACCATATTTGCCAAGGAGACAGTTTTTCTGGTTCAAAAAATTTTGGAACTAAACTGGACCTTACATCAAGCCGTTTAGCAGAATCCATCCAGCTAGTGTGCGAACGCCAACCCAGGTTTCCTGCAGTTATTTACCAGAGCATAGTTGCTTGTCTAGAATGTGCACTCAACCAAAACTAAAGAATTTATATCACAACCGCCACATTGCAGACACTGTATTACTGTTTAAGAAAATAAAGCTCATGAATTTTTGTAACCACATTTCGAGTTATAATTCTAAAAATTACCAAACCGAACGCAACGCTCACATAAACAGTTTTCACGGTGCAATTTTTGGAAGGCTTTTAAAGCGTAATGTACCGGCACTCTAAAAATATTACATATGAAATTCAAATAAAAATATAGAATTAAGGAATATTTTGAAATATGTTAAAATTTTTGTAAATAAACTGGAATGTGATTGTAAAATTGTAAATTATAAAAGTGAAGTGAAGTGGATAAAGAAAACGGAATTTAAAAGAACAAGCATATATGTGAAAAGATCTTAACAAGGGAGAAAAAAAATCAAGAGAGTAGGGTAAATAAAAAAGAGGAATTATTGACTAGTTACGAAAGATTTGTCAGAGCAAAGTGGTTGAAAAGAAATAGAGGGAAAAACCCATATAAATAGACAATCAAAGTTAGTATTCCAGTACAAAGAAAAATTAAAGTTGGGCCAAAAGGATTCAAAAGTCCAGTCTCTTCAAAGGACTCCAAGACGATATCCAGGACAGACCAGGATGATATTCCGGATATTCAATAGTAAACAGCAGTTCCAGAGATATTACAAATTCAGGAAAAAACGAGGATACCGGGATGATATTCCAGACACACTAAAGACGATATTTCAGACACATCAAAGTGAGCAGCAGGTTCCAGCTATCCAGTAATTTCAGGAAAACAAGGAATCCAGGACGATATTCCAGACACATCAAAGTAAGCAGCAGATTCCAGCTATCCGCTAAATTCTGGAAAAACGAGGATTCCAGGATGATATCCAGGCCTAGTATAAAAGGGCAAGCAGTTCGAAAATAAAAATCGACAAGACGTACGTAGAGGTAACTTTGTGCACAAAGAATTACGAAATCTTATAAGATAAAACTAGCTAGCAAGTGTATAATAAATACAATCTCAAAAGTCATAAAAAACCTAAAGGTATAATTATAAAATTTAAAGTAGTCTTACCTGAAAATAAGTTTGAAATTTAATACAAATTCTTCATACCTAATAAATAGTACATAATTTAACTTCACTATACTAACAGTAATAAAAAGTGGCCATATTAAAAATTTTGATAGATATTAAAGTATAATGTAGGCAAAGTAACACATTGGGACAGGAATTTTAAGATCAGATTTATCTCAAGTATAGGCAACCAACAGTACACAATAACGAGTCAATTTGAATACCACTTTATGAAAAGTTCCCAAGGTGTTACAAAATTGCTATCATAATAAGATAATTCCAAATATTCCGAAATTGTGCCTGAACATTTCACAATTATAATTTATCTTTAACAGAAAAAAAAAAATAAATTAATAAATAAATTAAATTTTGAATATCTTTTGTTTAGTGTGGTATATTGTTTGGGTTTCTACAAAGTTTCAACCTCATTAGAACTCACCATATGACTATACTCATATGGAACTCACTACTGGGAAGAGTTTAAAGCTAGCCAGGGTAGAATTGACAAATAAACCCAAGCATACCAACACAGCAGCATACACATATACACAGCAAAATAATAGATTAATTATAATATGGTATGTTTGATTTCTGAGTAAATATTTACTATTTTTGATGAAACAATAAATTTTCATGTGATCACTGAACATTAAAATTAAAACAAAAAAATTACTGTAATAATATAATTATATAAAAATTTACATAGTTATTTATAATACTTCATTAAATTTATCCATTCTTCTAGTCTAAGGCATCTAACAGGTCACAGATATTTAATATAACATTAAGAATAATAAAATAAACTGATAACAAATATTCAATAATTATAATAGTTATTACAAACACTAAGGAATGCAAGTTGTTAAAATATTTAATGTACACTATATTAATATTACATTGGATTTGGTGTTGGTTTTTATTATTAATATTAAATAACTTACAATTAACAATAATAATTATTTTTTTAAAGAATAAAGAAAACAAAAACTGATACTGGATGTTGTCAAAAAACAAGTTTAAAAATTGTTAACGAAAACGCCCAAAAATGTAATAGACAACACATTTAATCCTTTAAATAATTAATTAAAATAAAACATTATATTGCCAACAACTTTTTTTTTACTTTTGGGCACAAATTATTTATAAGGCCATTGTGGTTACATTATATACAACATAGATTTGGTGTTTTATTTTTATTGGACGATATTGTTAAAAAATCAAATACTTAGGGATGTAAACATAAAATACTTCAGAAAAGTCACACTGCCACTTCCTTTATTTATCAATAAATTGACTTATTAAGAGCAAAAATATTAACCCTCTTTATTTTAAGCACAAAAAGCTGCGAGGACATTTAAATTTAAATAATAGACTCTTATTTGCAAAATAAAATTCAGTTTAAGAGGGCTCTATAGCAAATAGGCAACCAGCAATACATCTTTATAGATTTCATTACACAGTTTGTCTAAATATGAGTTAATTTACAAATAACAGACTTTCCACCGTTCAAACACAGATTGTGTATAAAATGAAGTTAGTTTGCGGCTTTTGAACAAGCAGCAATGTAAATTACAAATTTCTTTACACCAAAAAGTAATTTGAGTTTCAAACCAAGTCCATTCTATAAAAAATCTGCGTTAAAAGGGGAGAAAGTCTGTTATTTGTGCATTAAATCATATTTAGACAAACTGTGTAATAAAATCTGTAAAAATGTATTGCTAGTTGCCTATTTGCTGTAGAGCCCTCTTAATATCAATTCATGAACCTTTTAAGTGGTGCAGTCAGTATTAATTAAATTAATCTTTAAAACCTCGATAATAAGTTAAGTAAATCTTAATTCTTATTTCTGGATTCTATCATTACGTGTATTATGGTAACTACTTTAAAATATATTTTTTTATAATAAAAGCAAACCTCTAGTTTCGTTTTCCAAACAAAGAATACAATTTTGCCATCTTCCTCCAAGAAACGCCTCTCTATCAACAATAAGCAAATAAATATAACAATTTTGTACTATAACATGCATAATCTACAGTAATTAGTAAAATAGATCAAAAATCTTACATATTTACAGTACTCTTAAAATTTCAATTTTAAATGTCAAGAAGAAGAAAATACATAAGTATTTTATTTTATGTAAGTTAACGCTGTTATGTTAAAGTTTCATTAATTTAACATTAAAAAATTCTAAAGGTATTAAAAGACATTCTTAACCAATTTCTAAAAGCCTCTCACTGCCTTTTAACATTTTTAAAAAACCACTCTGTGAACTTCCTCAATTGCTGTACTGCGGCTTGGGCTTGATCCTGTAGCTTCCTGTTCTCTTCCGTTAAACGTCTCACTTCATTTTCCAGAGACATTCGGCGTCTTGTTTCCCTATTCACTTTCAATTCCAGCTCTGCCACGTGACTTTGGAGCTCTGGCACGCTAGTACTGGAACTTACTCTATAAGAAAAAGAAAGTTTAACAAACAAGTTCTGTGATGTAATTTTGGCACAAACTGTTCAAGTTTAAAAATCTCAATCAAACAAACAATAGCATTAACCTCCACATACAGCATGGTCCATTAATGTGGAAGAGAATTAACCGAGAAAAAAATGCTAAAATAAAAGTTGAAAGGAACAAAAAATTCTATAAAGGTTAATTTCAGATATGAAGAATGTTGTAGTGATATACAGTGCTTGAATCTCAAGTGACCAGACTTATTTTGGCACTCAGTAAATTTGATTTTCTTAAGTTGGTGTTGTGTCAAAATTACCCTGGAAAAGTCATCATCTAGCACCCTACATTAAATTTCAGTCCACTGACGTTTGTAATTTTTCATGTTTTTATGCTTGTTGTTTGTACAAATTAACAATGTTTACTAGTATTTATGTGCTTTTTATTATTAATCTTTGTTAAGTTGAAAAAAAAAGCTTTTTTTTCAGTACTCCAAAAATTCAACACTTCAAAAGTTAAAACAAATATTTTATGGTTATGTTTTATTTGTTACAATCTTATTTCTTGTAGATTTGCGTAAAAATGCATTTTGATCGCACATTTTTGCAGTGGCATATGGAATGCAGATGGAAGTTGGTCTTAATCTTCACAATCCTGCATTGAACAATTTGTTGAAGCCTTTGCTGATGCTAATATCATATATGATGTGATTAAAAGCTACAGATTAATCCTTATTAAATGATAAGAGAATGGTGCAAAGTCCTAAGAAACCTGTTTCGCAGATATCTACTTGAAAAGGTACTGCCATAAACTTAATATAGTTTGAATAATGTATATTTTTTAACCTAAGCTAAAATAATCCATAATTAACTATTTTGAAAAATTTTGAATATTACTATTTCTTTATAATGTATTTTCTTTTATCAACATGTAAAATCTTGCAGTTTTACTCTGGTTAATTTGTGTATTTACAATAAATAACTGTGCATATTACCTATTATATTAGTAATATCTCCGTAGGTGTATCAGTTGAGACTTGTCGCAAGGCACTAAAGAAGCAGCCACATATGCACGCCTATAAGGTTTCTATTGTGCAAAAATTACGTCCTCCAGATCACAACCAACGAATACAATATTATCGAAATGGGTACATTTATCTGCTTATGTAAATAGTCAGAATTATAGAACAAGGGCTCCAGAAAATTCACATAATTTTAAGGAATAAACAACGTTACATTTTCAGAAGATACCAATGTCAAAAAAGGAATAGGCCCAATTCTTTTTCTGAGAAGTAATAAATGGAGATGATACCATAACATTTTACAAGCCCTGGAACTAATGCACGATGATGAACTGCAGTATGGGTATTTTCAACAAGATGGCACATACATAGTGTAGCAGAAACTATAAGATATCTTCAGGAATTTTATGGTGATACATTGATTACTAGGGGTTCGTAACCTGCTCGAAATCCTGATCTCACACCTTTAGATTTTTATTTGTTCAGCCATATCAAAAATAATATATTTAAAAATCCTCTCCACACACTTGAAGAGCTGGGAGCAGTAATTGAAGATAAAATAAACTAGAGATGTGCCACGGACATGTCAGCTGGACATGTCCGTCAGACATGTCGTGAAAAGTGGACATGTCCTGAGGACACTTTTCAAGATTGAAAAGTTGTATGCACATGCGCGGAATTATTTGTTGCATTCATAATTCCCGCAAAAAATTTTTGAGATTGGTACATGTAAAATTAAAGATATTTAGCCATTTTCTTGTAATTTTGTTGATAATTGTTGCTGAAATTGACATTTTAAAAATATAACCTCTTGTATATGTCCATATTTTATTATTTTGGGCAAAGTTAACGATTAGTGAATAGTAATCAGTTGATTCTTAATTTAATATTTAATACACAAACAGTTTATAAATGAAGTATGACACCAAAATCAACAGTTTGGTTATATTTTTCTGAATTGAATAAAAATCATTATAAATGTAACTTCTGCGCAAAAACAATTTTTAAGAATTCCAGTTGGATGGAAAAACATTTAAATAAGTGTACTGGTTGTCCGGGGAAAATTAGAAACCAGTTTATAAAAAAAAAGTCTAAAGGTAGGTAATAAGTAAAATATATCGACACATATTCATTAGAATAAAAGTAATATTTTGCTTTGTGTACCCTCAAGCAGTGATCTGTGAAAACATGACGTCATTCATAGGTGCCTTATTAGATGCAAGGTCAAAAGTACTTTTCCCGACATGTCTGGACATTTCATTGACATGTCCGTAACACACTTTTCCGAAAAGTGCCCATCTCTAAAATAAACATTATTACACCAAATGAACTTGAACCCGTATTTGAGTGCATAAAAAACAGAGTAAATTTTTGTTTGGAAAACGAAGGTGGTAATTTTTTGTTTGCTGTGTTTACATTAGCATTATATGGTAAATTAATTTATATTTAAATATTGGAAACAAATAAATACACTGAAACATTTTGTATTTTATTAACATTTCATTATCTCTGAATGAAAGTGTATCACAAAAGGGCCTATATTTTTAAAAGCACAACCTTCTTAATCAAAAAATACTTTTAAACGAAAAAATTCGTTAATTTGAAAGTATAAATCTAAAAAAAAATTCAGATAGTTTGGGGATTATTTTTGTTCAAAACGTACAATATTAGTAAAGATAAACATTTATTGTATTCTAGTATGCCATGAGTTTCATGTCCTTTGTAGTGTGTGGTTTAAAAAGAACAGAATTTCTTGGGATTACATCAAAGCTCTGGACGAAATTCAAACTACCGAAAAATTGAAATTGGCAAATTCACTCAGTTCTCATCATGTCAACTACAAGAATAAGATTATGAATGTTCGCCTTGCCGCACAAACAATATGTAGTGGTGCGGCAGATGCAATTGAATATCTGCAAAAAACCAGTGTCGAGGGTTTTGAACAGTTATGCCAATGTGATATATCTACGTACCGTAGACAGAATTTTTGATATTTAAAATTGCAGAAATCCATTTGGGAAAGGGTATAAGGCACCTATTAGGTCAAAAACTCAACCAAATCTGAAATCTGAAATTTTACAGACATACGCCTTTCTGATATTATAGTTTTGCAAAATTGGTTCATACGCCTAAGTAAAATGCGTTAGAATAGAGTTTTGATGTTTATGAATATATACTCCCTTCTGATATATTAAGCTATTAAGCGAATTGATTAAATGAGGTTGTACGCCCTAAAAACCTAAAACCGACTATACTGGCTCTTACGCCCTTCTGATATGACGCCCTCGATATGCGTAAAACATTTGCTTTGGCTCTTACGCCCTTCTGATATGACGCCCTCGATATGCGTAAAACATTTGCTTTAGGTTTCATATTAACAATGAAGAGTACATTAGGTTTAGCCAGTGACTAAATCCACTGACTTACTTTTTAACATATAAGCACTCACAAGATCACTTGGAATTTTTTTTTTCTTGCATTAGGTCCAGAGGTGGTTGGAATAATAATCCAAACACCCAGCAACTAAAATGGGCATTAAGACAGTTGCTTTACCAGGAATTCAGTAACTTCAAGTGTCAGTGCAAATTGGCTTGAAAGTTACTGCACTCCTGCGTTCGAATTCCATTCAGAAGGTAGGCAAAAACAAGATATGGACGAGGCTACAAATACTGATGATATTGTTAATTTAATTAGGTGCTTAGACGAAAAAAAATAGAGTGAATTTCAAGAAAACGTAGTGTTATATTTCTGGATATATAGTTCGTAACCTCATTAATGCCACTACATGTAATCATTGTATTGAAATATTACTATATAGAGGTAGTAAATCTACTGACCACTCTTATACGGCCCCTCCAGAAGCTCATTCACCAATTTTGTCACTCGAGGAGGTCTTCTTTATGCTTCAAATGTGGTGTATAAAATTTTACATTTTGCAGAAAAACAAATTCGCCTTCTATTAGAAAGTGAAAACCTTTTAAGAAGCAAAATAAACTTGAAACAAAAAATTATAAATACAGTTATAAATCATTTTGCTGTAAATATAGATCTATTTAAACCTAAACACCCTGTAATTCAAGAATTTGTTGGTGAGGAATGTCACGAAATTCAAATCATTAGGAAAACAAATGCCATATATTTAAAGTGCCGAATGTATCACCATAGTAAACTATTAAATTTAGAATTGCATGGAAAAAGTGCCACAATAAGACAAAAAATGACAAAATTTGTTTTATTTAGCAATTGTTAAATTAATAGGTATATAAGTACTAGTAGCAATGAAAAAAAGTCACATTTACTCCTAAATAAACATGAAAAATAAAAAAATATTTTTAAAAAATGCGCGAGCGTTCCATTAACCAACATGAGATAGAAAGAGATAGATATCCGTAACCGATGTGGGTTACCTAAGCAATCGTTTTGCCTCACTTGTCGCCCAAGGCGGGTCCGTTCCAGGTAGTATAGAGTTGACTGGTCACGTGAGACTCAGGCATTTATGAAGGCACTGTACATAATTTGAAATGAAGTTTTATGCAGTTTTCAAAATTTAAAAAATATAGGGTGTTTTATTAAAAAATATAAACACCACAAATTATAAAAATAAAAATAACGCGTACATCTACACAAAAACACATATAAAAGATATATTTATAAAAATCAAATATTTTCATAAACAAAAAAGAAAATCATAGAAAATGGTCAAAATTGAAAAACACCCCGTATCTTTTAAAAGAAAATCAATGTATCGAGATAGGAATAACAGAACCCCCCAAAGATATCAAATTTCTACTTTATCGCACTAATGGAAACTTTGGGAAATTATGTCATACCGGTAAAAATTATTAAAAGAGTACTTACGATGACGTAATGGAGGCGTCCATTGGTACTTCTTCACTCCAGTGTCGGTTAACTTCATGGTCGTTATTTACCTCCGAGTTGGACCCAACTTGCATCACGACTTTAGTCGCAGCATCAACCAAACTGGGCCAATCGCTATCTTCGGGCAATGGGAAATTATCCGGAAAAGTAATCACCTTGGCCTTGCCGGGACTAGTCAAATGTGATGTTAATTCATCTTGTGATCTCTTAAATTCATTGGGAAGGGGACTTGACGTAGTACTCGCATTCGAAATGACGGTAGCTGGCCTAGCCATCGTTAGGATCACTTCGGGTTGAGTCTTGTGGACGGTAAGTGCGTTATTCAGGTTCTCTCTAGAGTGCGATTTGATTTCTTTGTTTAATTTTGGTTCCGAAGCAGCCTCGATATTGTCAGGATTTATTAAACGCAACAGCTCTTCCTGGAAATTGGTAGAGGAAAGATTGGCGCTGTTACGATTAGAAGATCGTGCGGTGACTCCAGGCCGTAACTTTGCCTCGCCATTTATTGACCTAGGACTCTGGTTCCTGCTGGAATATGCCGCCGACTGGGACATGTTAACATGTTTTGCAGTTCTTCGTGCTTTTGGTGACATGTTTCCACTCCCGTTAGATAGTTCGTCTTCACTACCAATCAGGTTCATTCGGTCACTTATAGAACTGTCGGTAGAGTGACCATCGTTTATATTTAGCCTTCCAAACTCATTGTTCAATGATTGTACTGTAGAATAATCGGCTACTCTCGGAGCTCTCGTGACAATGTACTCGTTCTCTTGCCTCATACGTTCGTTCTGCTGCTTAATAATATTGTTTTTCTCCATCTTGTAACACAGATCTAATTCACTAGTATTAGTGTGAAGAGCTGCACTCAAGGGTTGCGAAACATTAACGTGTTGCAACGGTAGCGAGTTGCTGACTTGAATCTTGTTGTGTTGGATTGTGTAGTGGTTATGTGGTGGTTGTTGCATTTGTGGTACTTGATGTGAATTGTTACGTTTTGGTGTCGAAGGGAAAGTGTTGTTTGGATGGAGCGTTCGAGAACTGTGTTGATTGTTTTTCATGGGAACTGGAGGAGGGTCTAATTCTTGTAAAATGTCATACCATTTGTCGTCACTTGAATGTCCACTGGAGGAACTGGTCAAAGTTCCCTAAAAATATAAATATGTACTAATTTTATAATAATTTTTTTCCTAAAATATAATACAGGTGCGTTTTCCTATCTATATTTTGCATTCACTTACAGCCGTCATTTTTCAGAACAGAATATAATGTTAAATATAACAGATGTATGAAGTGCCAGAATTTTGTATCACATCACGGAAATGAACGTCACAAATAAGTAATATCAGATACATTTTTAAATATGAATTTTATTGTTAGCCATAATAAATTTTAAATTTAGATTTGATAAGTCTGTATCTAATAATAAGGATATGACCTCGATTGAACTCCATGAGGTCTCTCGAGACTTGAAAAGAAGTTTCTGTCAAGGTTTGAGACGAAACTTTCATCGAAGCTCGAGACAAGGTTAGTTTTGTACTGTGTGTTCAAAATAGAGTTGTATGTGTGCATTTCCAGCTAATGTCAGTATGATCATTTAAGAAAAGTATACGAAAAATTATGATCGTGTGAGATCCCAGACTTTTTAACATTTTCAAGCATAGAAGATGTCATTATAATTCAAAATTGATAAAAATCTGCTGCAGAATTCTGCAGAACTTGCTTTGGAAACAAAAAATCTCATGTTGCTTGATATTGCTTTATGTTGCCTTGGGCAGAAATTTAAGTTGAATTTCAGTCAAGTTTAGATGCCCAAATCGAGATTTTGGTAAATAAAATTTCAAGAAACTATCTAAATCTTTCTTGATTCACAATAATGTTCATTGAAAAAAATACATTGTTTACCAATTTCAGATGCTTTTCGTAACCCAAATATTTACTTCCGTCCGTCATTTAATTTTTGTCGAAATTTTTTGTTTCGTAAGACACTTACTTCGAAACCATTAATTTCTCGATTTCAACAAAAATCAGATATTCTTCGTAACGCTAGTATTCACTTTCGGTAAGTCATTTTATTTTTTTTTTTAAATTTATTTTTTCGAGATTTCAGTAAATGACTATGGAGCCGTCAATTCCCACTATCATCAGATTCTTTTCAATAACACAAATACATAGTTACTTCCGGTCCGCCATTCTTTTTTTAATTTTGAGCCAAAATTTGATATAAGCAAGCTCAAAAACTTAGGAATGACCTTTCAATTTTTGAGTACTCAAATTTTTTTTATTTTGCTGCTGTTCCATTACGCAAAGGACCAAAAAAGTGTGCCATAAGTGTAAACAAAAAGTAATCTTTAGAATACAGAAATACGATATGTTATCCTGGCTCGATTGCATATTGGTTTTAGTCCAGTGGCAGCTCGTAACATTGAGAATAGGTGAAGCATATTCATTGATTGACTATAAAGAAAAAAAAAAGCGCAGCAGGCGAAAAGTTTCAAATGTTCAATGTCAAACAGCTTTAAATGAATCTGGAAATTTTTAGTTGCATTTGCAATATTTCCGAAAAACAAATCCATTTGGGATTATTTTAGAACTTTCAGGATTAATCTCGGATATAAAACTTGAGGGATCACAGAATTGTGTGCTTTAGTTGTCATAGAACTGACAATAATCTCTTTTTAACACAGTGAATTTATGTCAGAATCTTTTGGCGATATCTTTGTTCTTACATCAGTGTCTGATAATTTGAATTTTTAGAAATCCAGTTTGAGAGCAATAGATCCATCAATATTATCGTAATTATAAAATAAAACAGTGTTTATAAAAATATACAGCTAGTTTCATAAAAAAAACAAAGGTCGGTTTATTTTGACACCTTTGCGATATTCATTTGTTTTATCTGATACAAAACTCTGACACTTCAGGAAAATTCATACAACTATATAAATAAAAATAATAGCTGTAGGTGGGATTGAAAATATTGGAAACACATGTGACGTCATTTTCAATTTTAAGAATTAATTTTTCAGAATTGAAAAAACCGTTTATATCTTTTATAAGTTTGTTATTTAATAATTTATTAAATTATTTTTGTTAGTTATGTTTCCTTGAGTGGTTATATACATAATATTGGAGACATTAACTATTAACCCATATTAATTTTTAGAATCTACATGAAACTTCAGTGGAAAAGTATAATGGAACCATTTAACTTAGTTTTTAGAACTATATTTTTTTCCATCCAGGCAAAAATGGGCCCACATTTGTAAAGAAGGTAGAGGGACTAAAGATGTCATAAAATATACCTATTTGTATGTTTTTTCTCTTTTTGATGTGGATTTTTTTTTAATATTTAATTTGTAAGTTATTTAATTTTATGTATGGATAGTTGTTTTGGGGCAAAATCTATCAATTAACCTATTTTTGTTGCAGTGGCGGCTGGTGACATTGAGAATAGGTGAAACATATTCATTGAAAAGAAAAAAAAAAAAGCGCCGCTGGCAAAAATTTTCGAATTTTCAAGATCAAACGGTTTTAAATGAATCTGGAAATTTTTAGTTGCATTTGCAATATTACTGAAAAACTGACGTTCATGAGAAGGATTTTCATTTAGATTTTATAAAAAATATAAATATTAGTTCAGCTTGTGGACTGCGGACATTAACACACACCGTACATGTATGTTCCAAAAAAGCTTTGTGGTTACGACAACCTCGCGTGACGTTCCCAAAATTGTTAAATCCCTTCTTATTCCACACGCCCGACTTTACACCCACAATTAAACACGGCATACAGAAAAGTTTTTTTAAATTAACACTCACACAACCACTTATACTCCGAATACCATTCATTCCGAAGCTTTCGATCGTACACGTCTTTTGACTTCCCCTTTTTCCATATCGAGAGAATAAGGCACAGGTCTCTCGCAATTTACAAAATCCTTTTTGTCCTCTATTTTCCATCTGGAGAATGGTGTTTCCAATAAAATAGGTACATACTGGATCATACATAGGAAACATTTCTACAATTATTATACAAAACAAATATTAACAAAGAACCGTTATAATCGTGTACTGGGCGACACGTATCGCATATCGTATAAACTGTTAGGCAGGCGATCCCTGCTGCATGACAACCACAATAATTTTCTTGGGCATAAACACATACCCACACCTGGCTTGAACGGTTTTAAAGTTTGATAAAAATTACACCAAAAACTGGCAGCGGATGGATTCCTCATCACAAACCTAAACAGGATCCGTTTTTATGTAAATCGGATCTGCTCGTTTTTTCGAGATAACGCGATTTTTCATTATCGACCATCGCAACTTTTTTTTCTTGACCGCTGTATCATTCCAAAATCATTGCCAGGGCTTTCCTGGAGGGATAAATAAGTAAATATATGAATAAGTGACTTACAAAAGGCGTTTATTGACCCACAACTCTTTATGAGACAACAAAAATAAATCGAAAAACAAAAAGTAATGTTGGTTTGTGTACATACATACATTCATAAATGCCTGGAAGAAAACTCTACCACAGCATTGAGTAACCGGTCTACATAAATTTTATTAGTTTTAGAATTTACTTTATATCTTTCCCAAACCCCGAGGAACTCGCGATGAATCGACTCCCCAGCTTGCTCGGACCAAAGGCCTAGTCCACTGTTACTTATTAACTTCAAACCTTCAATAGTATGGTCTAAGAGAACGTGAATTTTCAATGGTATGGTTGCTTCCAGAGCAACATAGCATCTTCTCAAAAGAAGGATTTCCGATTCAATAAGCTGTAAACTTGCTGCTCTTAGAGAAAAACAATTGTAAATGACTGTGTCCATAGCCTTGAAAACGCTGACAAATGGAATCAGTCTAAATAGCCCGACTTCAGCATAAATATCTTCAAAAAGCGCATCTGCCTGTTTAAGGAGCTTCCTACAAGCATTACCCTCACATATTGACCATTTTGCGGCCATAAAAGAGATTTTTCTCGCCCAACAACAGGGCATAATATTTCCCAAAATACGTGATTCACAAATCCTTGTAGAATATGGAGTTCCGGAATCACGCATTTTTCCATCACACACATATCGTCGTGTTCCTGAAATATTGGTGTTTTAACAGTACTGTGGAAATATTTCACATACTTTCTATGCCCCTGACCATCCGAGTTAAATGCTTGATCCCCATAAGTCTTGAGCTTCAAAGTTTTTTTGTTTACGGTTTCGAGATTTTCAACTGATTAACTTGACTAACACGAACTGGATTCAAATCCCCAGAGAATTTCATGTAATAGTCATAACTTGTCATCGGCGAAAAATCGGCATGCGCGCGCGCTTTTATTATTATTTTCATTGTTCTTCTACGATTTTCTGTAAACATCTATCACAATAACAACTGTCGGGAGTGACTTCTTGATAGATTTACTTATTATCCCTCCAGAAAAGCCCTGCCAATGATTTTGGAATGATACAGCGGTCAAGAAAAAAACATTGCGAGGGTCAATAATGAAAAATCGTGTTTTCTCGAAAAAACTAACAGATCCGATTTACATAAAAACGGATCCTGTTTAGGTTTGTGATCAGGAATCCAACCCCGCTGCCAGTTTTTGGTGTAATTTTTATCAAACTTTAAAACCGTTCAAGCCAGGTGTGTACCATGTTTCTCATTTCAACAAATGAATAATCATTAAGACACGGCATTTTAATGAAAAAAATCACAAACGAAGAAGAACTAAACTGTCTAGTATTTATAAGTTGCTTAGAATTGACATAAATAATACATTACATGACATTTTATTGACAGCGGACAACTTCATTTAAGTCATCTTATTTAAGGGCGTACGTTTAAACAAATAATTTTGTAAAGAAATAGTAAATCGTTCTTATTTCGAAAACGGTTAAGTTTATCGATTTTTAACAGGTATATCTTTTTTATTTAGAATTGAACATAGTTTAATAATTTCTTATTGGAAATTCAGATTTTTGAAGGACAAAAAAGTTTGACATATGTTTACTTTGACGGAACACTACAACTAGCGCATCCTAGACGTGATTGCAAAATAGTTACCATTTCCGTAATTACCACCTCAGAAAACATAGGTGTACAAACTTTCAAGACAATCCGTTCAAAGATGCTCAAGATATTTAAAAAAATCTAACATATTTTTTCAACTTTAACACCCTGTAGATCAAAAAGGAGCAACATTCGGATAAGGCATATTTGGCTTAAATGCTCTATTTTGAACCTGTCTTTAAGCTCTGTCCCATTATTAATAAATCACCCTGTATAACCATTTACAAACTACCCATTAACGCAAGAATTGGTTAATGCTTCCTAGGTACAGGTTAAAAACATACCATCATAATAAATTTTATAGATCTTGCTTGTGATATTGTCATCTTTAATTGCAGAAAAATTCACACACTTAGATTATATTTTTAGAATAAAAATTATTTATAAAGATTGTACATAAAACTTCATAAATAGTTACAGGCCATGCGACCAGTAATCATGTTTGAAACAGTAATTTTATTTCCTTTAAGTTGGCAAATAAATTTTGGTAAAATTAAAAATTATTACATTAAAATACATTTCACTGGCTGATGACTGGTTAATATTTTAGATTTTATTCAACCAATCAGCAATCACATTATCTCGAGCGTAGATGTAACAGTTTGTCATTGTTTATTATAAACGAATCATTAATATTGATCAGGCTAAGATTTAGGGATTTTTAGTTGACAGTACCAGTTGTGCAATGTTGGGTTACCTAACCTTAGCATTCACGTTGGTTGTAATCATTTATGTAGACTCTGTATATGGGCCCATTGTAACTTTGGACAGTTTTCTTTGAATATTTAAGTATCTTTTGAAGTAATATTTAATTTTCAATTTATGAATATTGTTCCATTATACGATCACCTCCAAACGGAAAATAACTATCTAATGGAAAACATAATGCTACCTACACCTCTCGCTAAGTCTACTTACAAAACATCCTCTTTATAATAAGCTATGTAAGACAACAAACTTGAAATTAAAAGATGAACTGAGAATCTCGACTACCTACTGCACTACTTTTTTAAATAGATGGTAAATAATTAATAAAAAAAAACTTGCTCACCTCTGTGTTGGTTGCAAATCTCGACTCTTGACCATGAAACGATTTGCTGCTGCTTCCAGTTCCGTAGCCGGAACTATTGCTGCTTCTCGGAGGTGAAAAGCTCCTCTCGTAGATCCTTCTGTGGTGTCCCACCACGGCTTGTTGCATCTGTGGCGCTCTTCTTCCTTTATTCTCATCGTTTGTGGAACTCTCGTAATCGCCTTCGTAATGAGCCTCGTTATACTTGCAGTTCTGCAAAGTACATCCCTTACGGGGAGACCCGTCTGACAGCGGTGGTATCACAGTCAAAATAACGGTGAGAGAAGTCTTCAATAAATCCACCATTTGATCGTAAGTCAATGTCGCAACTGCAACTTTACAGATTTCTACCAGGCGGGAATTTTGACGCAGCCCTGCCTGCCAAGCCTGACCGGCGCTTTCCACGAGCGTTACAATGCCGTCGGGTTGAACATGAAATCCTAATTGACCCATAATGTTTCGGCTGAAATGCACAACCAAATAGGTTTTTAAAGAGCAGTCCTTAAATTTGTTAAAACATATTTCACATTTCACATAAAAACGTAAAAGGATGTTGAATATGTTCTCTTTGTTTTTTCGTGACAATTAACACTTTATTTAAAAAAATTTGTAAAAAACATCAATTTTTTGGCATCTTGAATGGCATTTGAATGTAACATATAGAAACAAATGTATCAAAACGTATGTGTCGCTGCTTGTGAGCGGTACAAGTGGTCTTTATAGCATTCTACAATGCGGTAGCCATAAGATGCCTCTTGTTGTGTTTGACCGTCCGTTACCGCACGCTGTCATATGGCTAGTGACGATAATTTCACGAGAAAACTTATAGACTGTGTAAAAAGCCACAGTGTATTGTATGATTTGTCTCATCCTCATTATAAAAATGTTTATATGAAAAATAAAGCACAGGATTGTGGGTACACATGCTGCAAGTGATCCATTTTTAAGTACGTCAATAGCACCATCCTGAACGCCACCCGGGACGCAACAGGGTACTTCTGCTAGCGACTCCATACCAAAGGGGACTCTCCAGCGAACGCTCGCCCCGACAACAGATCTTTTACAAACTTAGTTTTCAATAAAAATACTTTATTTTTACCATTGAGAGCATTTCATTTTTGCTGTACAGCGAAAACAACCCTCAAGTGGTGACCCCGACGTGATTTTTCAACCGTCATTCAGTCAAAGTACGCGATTTTGTGCAATTAGAGTGGTTTTTAATTCGTCTAACGCAGTAAGCAACATGAGCCTCAAACAAGGAAACTATGTCAAAAATCATACCCGTTAAGAAGACGACGGACTGAATCGCATCGAGCAACAGTTAGTGGAGATATCGCAGGCAATGGCGAAGCTATTCACGAAGAGTGAACCGCGGCGACAGTCGACGAGAAACACAGATCGCGAACCCGTGACAGTGACAGTGGTCAGTGCTGGTATCATCAATGTTTTGGTGACTGTGCCGCGATCCGTGCACGTATTGTCTGGGAAACGAGACGGGTAGTAGATGATGATGAACAGCGACCCGTGCCCGATTCCATGCCATTTGTACGTTACGGATATGTACTCCAGGATACAGTTTCTCGTCGATGCAGGTGCTGATCTTTGTGTATATCGGCGTGCGCTAGTGAAATCGACATACGAACTTTCCGTGGCAAATGGTACCTCAATTGCTAGTGACAATGACATCAAATCTCCCGTTGCATCGCTGTTTTACATGGCAATTTGTCGTCGCGGATGTTTCTAAACCGATAATAATTGATGCAGATTTTTTATCTTTTTATGGACTACTGGTGGACGTGCACTACAAAAGACTGCTTGATGAAACAACGCAAATTACGTCTCCAGGTCAACTCGCGCATTCTGCGTCACCCTCTGTCAGAACGGTTTCCGGGGAATCCGTGTTTCATCTCTTACTCAAGCAGTATTCGGACATTAGGCGTCCTACAGCTCCTTCTGCGGCTGTACAACACCGAACCAGGCACTATATCGAAATAACAACTGGTCGCCCTGTCGCTGAAAAGCCACGTAGATTAGCGTCAGACAAATTGCGGGCAGCAAAAAAGGAATTCGACAATATGCTGAAATTAGGTATCGTTCGTCCTTTGAGCAGTGCTTGGGCGTCACCCTTACACCTCGTGCCAAAAAAGGGTGAAGAATGGCGGCCATGTGGCGATTATCATAGGCTTAACACACAAACGCGTCCAAACCTATGTTCTGTGCGACATATTCAGAACTTTGCACAATCTCTTTGAGGTAGGAATTTATTTTCGATCATTGACCTGATTCGCGCATTTCACCAAATGCCCGTCGCGGAAGAAGACATTCCCAAAACGACTGTCACTACACCTTTTGGGTTATTTGAGTTTACACACATGACCTTTGGGTTACGCAAAGCAGCTCAAACTTTTCAACACTTCATTGACGAGGTTTTACGCGACTTGGATTTCTGCTGTGCATACTCTCCAGCGAACGCTCGCCCCGACAACACGTCCTTTTTTTTACAAACTTAGTTTTCAATAAAAATACTTTATTTTTACCGTTGAGAGAGCGTTTTATTTTTGCTGTACAGCGAAAGCAACCCTCAGGATGAAATAGCAAAGATCCTCAATAAAGAGCAAAACTTCAATTTCAGCATTCTATTTTTAAAAAAACTTCAATTTCAGCATTAATTTTAAATGCTAATAGGACGTTTGGTGATGATTTTATAAAAACGGGTTATCGCAAATGTCACCACNGTTTTATTTTTGCTGTACAGCGAAAGCAACCCTCAGGATGAAATAGCAAAGATCCTCAATAAAGAGCAAAACTTCAATTTCAGCATTCTATTTTTAAAAAACCTTCAATTTCAGCATTAATTTTAAATGCTAATAGGACGTTTGGTGATGATTTTATAAAAACGGGTTATCACAAATGTCACCGCGCTAATATGTTTTACTTCAAATAACGCCACCGCTACATTACCGCATATGTATGTGCAGGCCTTATTAATTGTAAATGAAACATCATTGGCAAAGCCAAATATTCATGGTTTCAAGTTTCTGCTCTGCATTTGATGGGAACAGATGAAAAAAGTAGTGGCTGGCAATAGACAACACCTTCAGTGTCATGTTTTTTACAAATTTTTTCTTTAAATAAAACATTAATTTTCACGACAAATCAGCGAAAACTTATTCAACTTCCCATTATAATAGAAAAAAAACTGAATTGACATCCAACATTTCAAAAAAAGAGTTCTTATTTAAATTTCAATTGAAATTACCTAATTGAAAATTCCTGGGCAACATGCCCAAATGTAACGGCCTTCAACCTATCCATAATTTCCATCAGCTCATCCCTGTCTGCATGCGTGTCCCTCATATGAATCGTCATGCATTCTCCCTGATGATGGTAAATCCTGAGACTAGTTGTTTGTGGGGACCATCCCAAAATTGATTTGCATGGAGTGACAAACACGATTTGTCTAGAGAGTTCCTCAATTAAAACGAATGTATCCGAAGAAATACCCAGGAAGCACTCAATTTGTTGGCTCTGTCCGCTATCATCTAATAATACTTGCCATAAAATGGCACCTCTTTGGCATAGGTCCGGTATGAACCGGGGACGGATTTTGTCTTTCTTTTTACTACTAAATATAGCTGTAAATTAATCAAAATCGTTAAATGTAATATCTGGCTAACTTTTCAATTTTAAAATAAAAAAAGGCTACTATAATTTATTAGAGTTTTAGTAAACCTATCCTGTATCCAATTTCTCTTTATTTAATAAAGTGAAAACAAATTTTAAATATTTTAGTTTGCTGCACGATACCAAACAACTATATCTTTTTCTCATAAAAAAGTACAAGAATGTTAATAAAAGTGATAAAAAATTAGAAAAGCAGACCTTTGGGGCATCTGTCTCTGGGTTGCCAAAGTAGGCAAGCACCCAAAAATTATCCAAAACAAAAAATTTATTTTTAACTTTTAACTTCAAGAGCTGACAACTCTACAGAGTGAACCCAAGCAAAAAAAAAGTATATGAATTTTGTGATGTTATTTTTCAATTCCTACTAAAATCCATGAAATTGCCCACCATTTTCTGGATACCTTGTAGAGCGTACATAAATCTTGAGTATGCACACTTTTAACCTGATAATTTTATTGTATGCCCAGCTTTAAACAAATAAGACCATTTTTTTCAAAAAAATTATAAAAAGCATTCTTTAAAATTTTGAAAAACATCAAAATTAATTTATATTATTCTGTTGGATTTACTCTTGCAAAATAACAAAAAAAAAGTCGATTATTGTTAATTTATAATAAAAATTCTGATGTTAGTTCTAAGGCCTAATTCATTTAAAAAATAGTTAATTATACTCGGCGGCCGAAATTATAAAGAGTGACTAATACATAATATAAAAACACTATTACACAATAATATAAAATGATTTCTATACGGTTCAATATTATTTATCTTTGTGCCGCTCTCCATGCACATCGGTAGAATCTATAATCTTGTATAGACTGAGTTACACTGAACGTCGATCTATATTTTATCTCTGTCTTTTGCACTTGGTAGGGAATAGGGAAATGCTTTTTTAGTGGGTGTAAACGGACTTGATTTGCCCGACCTGAGAAACGTCATAGCATAAGCGTAGACGAGGGGTCTAATTCCATGGCTATAATAAATTTATAAATTAAAAAAACACAACTGGGACGTTTTAAAATGCTGTAATAATTAAAATTGATCAAAGTGCCGGTTATAGCAAACCGTAAAAAATATTAGATGTTATGTTTTATTATGTTTTTTCAATATTTTCTATATCTTGTTGCGCAGACACGCCAATGGATTTTCGTTCCCGGCACGCTTCATCCCCCTTACTAGTTCAAGAGCTAGCGATGAATCACTATCTATAATTTTGGCCGTCGAGTATAGTCGAAAAAAATGTTACAAACTGGCGTTAGTTTAATAAATTTTGTTTTTCTGTACACCCATTCTTACAAGTTATGGGCCTAAATTATGTGAAAACCAAATTTTATGATATAAACTAGTGTATCAAAACAAAATAAATAATATAAAAAACACTATAGATAAGTTTATCAATGAAATGTGGAAAATGGTGGAAAGAGTGAAAAAAAGTGAAAAAAATCAGAACTTAAGTAACAGTTTTCTTAAATGTATTCAAGAAAAGAATATGGCAAAAAAACATTTTAAGTAAAATCATCTTTGAGTATATTTATTTTGTGAAAGCTAGAAATAAGAAAATTAAACTTGTAATGTGATACTTCACTTATAAATAATTTCACCACGTTTGATAACTACATAGAATAAACAGACATTTTTTGAAATTACACCATTTCTTGCTATGACCTTAAGCAAAACTTCAAGGTCAAATTTGAGATCACATCCAGATATAAAATTTTCTGCCAAATCCATTCTCAGAGTAAAAAAATGGGAGTCCCATTTAAAATTATGAGTTTGACCTTCACCTAATCTTCAAGGTCACAGTAAAGGTCAAATTCAATGTTAGTAACCGCTTCCCCCAATGAAATCAACGACTTTTATCTAAGTCACTTTTGGATTGGAGGCTTCACTGACGAGATGTATCGATTGAAATCAAGATTTAGGTTTGTCGAATTTTAAACTTTAATGTATTCCACATATGTACGAATGTTTTTTATCATTATTTTTTTTGACAAAACAACATCTGTAGGTATATATTAATTAGTTAATTAAAAAAGAAAAAGGCACTTACAAAACTTCTGTCCTGTGTCCACGGGCGTAGAAGTCGAATAATTCATAACTAAGTCCTTCAAGTACTCCTGCCTGGTCCTTGTGGCCATAGTGACGAACTTCTCAGACCTGTGCGCTGCGTTCTCGGCATTGACAACTTTCGCCAACAAGAACTCCGCGAATACTTTCCCTTTGGGAAACACTGCACCTTCCTTTATCGGAGGTCCGAAAACTTCCACTTCTTTAGACCTGCTCACGGCCACTTTATAATGGGTATTTTCAGTGCACGGATTTATGGCATGTACTACTATAAAAACGTGCTGGAACTGAGATCGTATGCCTTTGGGAGTAAATGGTAGAGAACCAGGTTCTTGGAAGACGATGGTTACTATATCGTTGCCTATGTGTCGCTTTCTCAGAAGCTGCTGTCGGTTGTTTGGAGTAAAGGGAAGCATAGTGGAGACGTGGAACATTATTTCGCAGTCTTGGTACTGTGCGTATATTGAATACAGGCCAGTGGAGTCGGCTATTACAAAATAAAATTATGTTAGAATCAAATTGATTCTACCTCACTCATTATTTCAGACATGATATTGATTGATATTTTAAGCAAAAATTTATTATATGAATGAACACTACACTACACCATAGATAAAAATGACTTAAATTACCATAAGAAATTCACCAATGAACATCATGAATGCGAAATTGAAATTCAACATGTGTATTTAAATAAAAAATATATATAGGGCGTTTCAGAAAGACCTCCCATAAATTCAGGGGGTGATAGTACGACAAAAAATAAGAATTTTTTGTCTTATGAACTATATGTCTATCTCCTCTTGTTTTCGAGATATAGAATGACAAAATATAATTTTTTAAACAGAATTTTTACGAAAATTTCCAAACGGTGCAAAATATTTTTATGAAATTTAATATTCTGGGGTTTTTAAGGATGCCAAATACGCTGGTCTAATTATTTTTTGTATATTTCATAGAGGGCGCTAGTTATGCTACATTCCTATTACATTTTAAGTTCTAATTTTTTTAAGGTTAGGGTTTTTACCATTCGGGCTCCAATTTCTAATGTACAATTTTATTTTCTAAAAATAATGTTATCTTGTTAGAACTTCCATAAAAATGTCAGNCCTTGAAGAAGATACGTCTCATTCACTTTCGGACACCCTACATACTTCCAAGGCAGTCTTTGTTTTAGTATGCAGTCAAAAATCTCTAAATCTTAACTTCACCCATATTAATCATTCGTTTACTACGAACAATGACAAACCGTTGCGTCTACGTTCGAGATAAGGCAATCGCTGATATGTTGAATAAATATCAGGTAAAGTTACACCAATCACCAGCCGGTAAATCCTAATATTATGTTTTAACGTAATCTCCATCTTGCCGTTTTAATAAGTTTCATTGGCAACGTGAAGGACATAAAATTACTGTTCCAGACAAAGTTTCTGGTCACGGGGTTTATAATCATTCATGATCGAAGGTCTTGTTTGTAATTTCATAATACATATAGAGATTGACCGGATAAAACATGCCGGGTGTTCGTATTTAATTTTGTTAATAAAACTGTACCGCCTCAAACGTTGCCTTGGAAATATATTTCATCGGTAGTTTCCTTGGGTTTTAGACCATTTAACCTTAGTACGATTTAGCTTTTTTAAATTTATTTATTTATTTATTTATACTGCATACATACAGACAAAGGGACAGTCCAATTACATGTATACAGTTGAGAAATGTTAGCTAATATAAAAAACAAGTTAAAAATAATGTATAAACAACCAGACACATGCAAAATACAATGTAAAAAGAGAACAAAGAAAGGAAACAAAAAAATGTCAGTTAAAATGTACATAAAACACCCAATCGTATACGTATCATAAGTATGAGAGTAGCTTAGTCCGACTAATATTAAAAATATCAATGTCGTATATTCTTAACAAATTATTCACCGTACACAGACACTGTTCTAGGGGTGAATTAATATTAAATATTTTAAAAAGTCTATATCTAGTTCGCATTCTCATATCGGGTACATTAATATTAATAGACGCCAACAAATCGGGGACAACAATCTTACTATGTAAAATATTATAAGCGAACAAAATTGTCGAACTTTCTTTTCTAAGTTAAGGAGGTTTAGGTACCTGATACGCAATTGATAAACACATTCATAAAAAATTAATATAAGCTTATTAATATGAAGAAAATCTTGGATAAAAAATTATGACTACTTTGGATACCTAAGAGAGGAGATATTAATAAAATAATTTTTCACGATTTAGTATGAAGTCTTATGAGAATGCAGATTTTTTTTGGTCTTTCCACTTAGAATGTGCATCAATTGACAGTTTCCACAGCAACTTGTATAAATAGGAAACCCATATCTAAGGAACCGTATGACAGCTCGTAGAAATCGATTAGGTACTTGTAAGATACATATTTTATAATAATTCTCCTTCAAACTGCTGTCGTTGACTAACTTAACTCCATATTCGTGATAGCGGCAACGCCGCGGTTCTCAACGTAACGTATTATTTAAAATTCGAAGGTGTGACATATGATATATATGTCAAGCTTGGGCATCCAAACAAACAGAATGATCGAACGCGAACGAGCGAACGCCGAGCCGAGCGCGCCAGCCAAGTGCAACATTGCCAAATCTAAAGGCTTACTACTTTAGTCACTAGCGAATCTACAGAAACTCTCATTTGACTTTAGACGTACCCGATAAACCTCCTTAAGCCAATATATATCTTTGCCTATTTTTAATATCCAGATGATAAAACATCTTGATCTTTAAGAACGGTAATTGAAGTCCCGTTTCATCTAACAAAGTACTACAATATTCATATAGATGTCGCTACAGGAAATACGTTTATAGTAAAAATAGTACGATTATTTCATTCTTTCAAATTCCGGCAAAACACATCTAAAAAAAACGAGAAAATGCCAGGTGCACGCACACGTGCACNTAAAAATAGTTTTTTGAATGGTGGTAAATTGATCTAAATCATAAAAAAGATTTATTTGCAATTTTAGCAAAAAAGTAAATGACAATTATTTATAGTTTACCCTACCTCTAAATTATGAACTGTTGTCAGTGACGATTTAGACACGATTGTTTATTTGTAAAAGTAAAATTGACATCTCAAATATTTGTTTGTGTTTTCTCAAAATCTGTAGCACCAAAAAAACTTGAAGTTTTTCTTTGGAACTACTAGTTTCTAATTAAAAATATAAATTCAAATTCATAGTGGCTTATCTCAAAAAAAGAAAAAAATTATTGAAATATCTTTAGCAACGACACAGTTATCCTAAAAATCTGATGTAAAACATTTTTATTTTTTGTCTAATATTGATCTAAATGAGTTTATTTTCATCCAAGGAAGCTATCCTTGAAGAAGATACGTCTCATTCACTTTCGGACACCCTACATACTTCCAAGGCAGTCTTTGTTTTAGTATGCAGTCAAAAATCTCTAAATCTTAACTTCACCCATATTAATCATTCGTTTACTACGAACAATGACAAACCGTTGCGTCTACGTTCGAGATAAGGCAATCGCTGATATGTTGAATAAATATCAGGTAAAGTTACACCAATCACCAGCCGGTAAATCCTAATATTATGTTTTAACGTAATCTCCATCTTGCCGTTTTAATAAGTTTCATTGGCAACGTGAAGGACATAAAATTACTGTTCCAGACAAAGTTTCTGGTCACGGGGTTTATAATCATTCATGATCGAAGGTCTTGTTTGTAATTTCATAATACATATAGAGATTGACCGGATAAAACATGCCGGGTGTTCGTATTTAATTTTGTTAATAAAACTGTACCGCCTCAAACGTTGCCTTGGAAATATATTTCATCGGTAGTTTCCTTGGGTTTTAGACCATTTAACCTTAGTACGATTTAGCTTTTTTAAATTTATTTATTTATTTATTTATACTGCATACATACAGACAAAGGGACAGTCCAATTACATGTATACAGTTGAGAAATGTTAGCTAATATAAAAAACAAGTTAAAAATAATGTATAAACAACCAGACACATGCAAAATACAATGTAAAAAGAGAACAAAGAAAGGAAACAAAAAAATGTCAGTTAAAATGTACATAAAACACCCAATCGTATACGTATCATAAGTATGAGAGTAGCTTAGTCCGACTAATATTAAAAATATCAATGTCGTATATTCTTAACAAATTATTCACCGTACACAGACACTGTTCTAGGGGTGAATTAATATTAAATATTTTAAAAAGTCTATATCTAGTTCGCATTCTCATATCGGGTACATTAATATTAATAGACGCCAACAAATCGGGGACAACAATCTTACTATGTAAAATATTATAAGCGAACAAAATTGTCGAACTTTCTTTTCTAAGTTAAGGAGGTTTAGGTACCTGATACGCAATTGATAAACACATTCATAAAAAATTAATATAAGCTTATTAATATGAAGAAAATCTTGGATAAAAAATTATGACTACTTTGGATACCTAAGAGAGGAGATATTAATAAAATAATTTTTCACGATTTAGTATGAAGTCTTATGAGAATGCAAATTTTTTTTGGTCTTTCCACTTAGAATGTGCATCAATTGACAGTTTCCACAGCAACTTGTCTAAATAGGAAACTGATATCTAAGGAATCGATTAGGTACTTGTAAGATACATAATTTATAATAATTCTCCTTCAAACTGCTGTCGTTGACTAACTTAACTCCATATTCGTGATAGCGGCAACGCCGCGGTTCTCGACGTAACGTATTATTTAAAATTCGAAGGTGTGACATATGATATATATTTCAAGCTTGGACATCCAAACAAACAGAATGATCGACCGTGAGCGAGCGAACGGCGAGCCGAGCGAACGGCAAGCCGAGCGGGCCAGCCAAGTGCAAGGTTGCCAAATCTAAAGGCTTACTACTTTAGTCACTAGCGAATCTACAGAAACTCTCATTTGACTTAGATGTACCCGATAAACCTCCTTAAGCCTATAGGTATATATCTTTGCCTATTTTTAATATCCAGATGATAAGACATCTTGATCTTTAATATGGTGTACCGTACTGGCATCCATAAGAATATTGCCTTGTATTTTGCACATTATAAAGGAAAAATAATTATAAATATTGATTTTTAATATATGTATATTCTAAATTATCCATTAAATTATTTAATATTTTAAGTTCATAGATCATAGATAAAAGTCGATTATTTAGCGCTAATCCCTCAACAATTAGAGATACATAAATATGGAAAGGTTAAATCTATTTGTCAGGCTACTTTTCATTCATAAATATGCAAATTTATGCAAAGCTCCAAGTTATTCTGAACTGACTTCTGATCTGCTACTAAAAATGGATAACTCTAATTTTTTTTTTTTGATTTTTAACCATGGACAAAGTGAAAATTTTCTATGAAAACCCACAAAATTGAAAGGCCACAAAATTATTATTTGAAAATGGTCTGTCCAAATCTGTAAAAGAATTTTCTACGTCAAATAACTTTTTTTAGAAAGTTGAAAGCCCTTTTTTACTTCGATAGCGCTGGTTAGTTTTTACTGTACTAATTTCTTAAATCTATGCCTTCAACTGTTTAGGAAAAATTGTTGCTCCTGTTTTTTTTTTGTGCTTAACTCAGTTTTGGTTTTCAACCATTGCTAGGTTCAAAATATGAGCAGAAAATGTTTTCATGTTTCCGTTACATATCAATTTCTGGAATTGCACCTATATACTCAAACTATTTTAAAGACATGTATGTCAAAATGACAATTAATAAAATACTCAATAATAATAATACTCAACTTACTTTTATTATCCAATCCTGCTTTGTACTTATCGAAACCACTTAGCCTGACTTTCTTCCCTATCGTCTCCAAAAACTCAATAAAAGCCGGCCCAGCTTCCTCATTATTGTACATCTCCTCCTCCGAGTTTTGTCCTGCCTTGCAGTACATAATACCCACCTTGTAATGGTTTGTCAATCCCTGTTCGTCCAACTTGAGAATCTGGTCAATCGCCTGCTGATTATGAACGCCAAGCCTTAGACAGCTTAGTTGGATTTCAGGAGCTACATATTCGAGAACTTCTTTGGTATTGAGGGTTTTGGGGTTGCTGGATGCCTTGATGTTGGGAATAGCGTCCTCTAAGACAGCGCCCCGTAAGGTTTGCAATTCAGAGGTTCGAATTACTAATCTGTAAAGATGGTATAGATAAAATTATAGGACTAAACAAACAGGCCATAGCCAGGACCGAATGTCAATAAAGGCTTTAAGAGCAAACATTTATACAGGGTGTATGTCAAACACATCGACAACTTAAGACAAGAGATTCCTCGAATCAAAATATGTAAGTCAATGTAGATTAACTTACCTTTAAATATAAAAAAAAAACATATTTGTTTATACAGGGTGTTACAAAATTCGCGGACACGAATTGTGGGATCATATTAAGCTAGATAGGGTGATAAAAAAATGTCTTTATGATTTTTCAATCAGTCCAGTATTTTTCAAGATATAGCAGTATCAAATATCCAAAAATAATAAAAATATACATATTTATAAATTTCAATTTTCAATCATTAGATAAACAATTACGACAAACGAGTTACAACAATTGTTCAAAATTTCCACCGTCTGCTGTTAAACATACTTCAGCACATTGTGCTACTGCTCTAATGGAGTTGGTGTATCACCTCTGGTGTTATTTGCTGAATTGATTGAAATAGGTGGTTCTGCAATTCATTCAAATTTGCCACTGTACACTGTTCTGTACACCAACGTTTTTAAGAAGCCCCAAAATAAAAAATCACATTGCGTTAGGTCTGGACAACGAGGTGGCCAAGCAAATGGATCGCCTCTGCCAAGCCAACCGCACTGCTTCACCTGCACGATTATTTGAAGCTCCGAGAGCCATCAGCATATCATACTATTCACGATTTGAATAATTGTGGCCTATTATTTTGCAGTTTGTATTGACAGGTACTTTTACTGTACTCTAACGATGTCAAAGTATTGATAAATGCTTTTTGAATTGTCATTAATTGTTATAGAGCTGTCAGTTTCAAACAATACAACAAATAACGCCAGAGATAGTAGGTACGCAACTCCATTCGAGCTGTAGCACAATGTGCTGAAGCATGTTTAGCAGCAGGTGGTGGAAATTTTGAACAATTCGTTTGTCATAATTGTTTATCAAATGATTAAAAATTGAAATTTTTTATTATTTTTGGATATTTAAAACTGCCGTATCTCGAAAAATATCGGTCCGATTCTTTTTGTTCATTTTTTTTGTCTTGCGAAATTTTAATATTTTCTGTGAATTTGATGTGTTTCTACATTTGAAGGAACAATTCTATATGTCAAAAATAAGAAAAAGAGTTGACATGAACATAAAATACTTCCCAATGGTACTACTGCTGTTTAAATATTGTCCCCCAAGATATGGATATTTTCAGAACAGCCATGGCACTATCAAAAAACATTTCAGGAAGTCCATTTTTATAAATATTTTTCTTATTTTTATGTATAGAATTGATTCTTCAAATATAACAATCAAATTGTCAAACAATTACATTTAAAGTCAAATTACCACATTGGAAGAGCCTAAATAATCATTTTATCTCGTGTTGACTTATTTTTTCTTACGACTAAATTCAGAATATTGTAGATTTTCACTTTGGTTATTCCATTGAAACATAATAAGTAAAAAAATCAATTAAGTACGATATTTATTAGGTACATTTTATGTAAAATTTCATCCAAGGAAACAACTCTATTAAAAGACATTTTTGTAGTATCCAATAACATTTCTGTGAAGTTTAGATTTATGTTAAGAAGTTTTTTATTTATTTATTTTTTACATTTACAATATTTTTTAATTTGAACCCAAACTTATATAAGTTAATGAAGCATCCTGTAGATATGTAAATTGCGCAATTTTTTTAATCATTATAAAATTTTCTTGCAACACTACTTACTCAAAACTTTTTCATTTGTTAACAACATAATTTATTATTATTTAAAAGTCAAAATGTAACATGAATTATCTATTTCTTGTCTCCGTGAAAAAACATGCATGGCCTATTTAATTGTATCATAAAGCAGTTGATTACAAAAAAAAATGTGTAACTATCATATGAATCATCATATCACGCATCATATGAAATTAAATTTTCATCAAATTTTAAAAATCGAAAAATATGTCTATAGTGTGTTCTGTTAAATATAAATATTATAAATAAATATCTGAAAGCTAAAAGTTGTAGAAATATAATGATACAGGAATAAATGCAAAAAGCTGAATAAAAGTTCTCTTTAAAAAAAATTTAAAATTTTCACAAATAAAAGAGTGTAATATAATACGACAAAAAAAATTACAAAAAATGAAAAATGTCCTAAATTACAAATGAATCAATATTCAATCAATATATGCGGTCTCGTTGTCTCTAACTTTTGTTGAAAAACAAGACCAAAACGTTATAACTTCGGTCTTTACATTTTGTCTATTTCCTCGAGAAATATGAGAAATATATCAAAATTGTTCCACTCGATACATACCTTAGAAATATCGTATTATAGTATAGGCTAACAATTTCATCAATCTTCAAAACAACATTAACTACTGATATACAAGGTTAAAATAATGAAAGCCAAATATGCCTTCATCTTCTAGCTGAAAATTTTAATAGCCTATTAGTGAGAAAAAGGGTTAAATTGTTATTCTTATGGCAGTAATTTTCTTATTCTGCAAACTCAAACTCTTAAATAATTATATTTTTTTCATAACAGATTTAATATAGGTAATAACAAACCCTATTTGCTTTTATTTAACTTGCCTTGTTAGTATGGGTCAAATCTTGCAACTGAATTTTAAAACAGTTATCCCCAACCGATTGAGCTGAAATTTTGCAAACACGTTTAGTTTGGATGGCAATGCATGGTTAGCTAATTGAGGTTATTCTAAATCCGATATGACGGACTCCCAAAGATGGCGAACCAGTTATTTTTTATGCGCCCCCATGAAAATAAAATGACGTCAATAAAAGATTGTAAATTTTATTTTTTTATACATGAACTTATTTATTACTTTGGAATAAAAATAGATTTATACAGCTTTCTGCTGACCTCTCTATTCCCAGTTCAAGTCAAGTGCCTTGCCCTCTGGCAGAACTAAATTGTACTTAAAGGAATGAGATAAAATGTAAACACATCCTAGAGCTTTATGCAAGATTGTAATATTCTCTTTATTTAAGGGTACCTAATCTTGGAGAAATTGCAAATTGTCCAAGAAAAAGTAGCAATGCTGTAATTACTACATTTTTTAGTGTACCTGGATGCAAATCTAACGGTGTTAGGCGTTTAGCTATTTAACGAAACATTTAAGACCTCCGTCCTTTCTTTTACATTTTGAGATGAAAAATAATATATGTAATAAAAATATATAGGTAATTTAATAAAAAAAACGAAACAAATATATTTTCCAGTTTTAAAAAGACACCTTAATTTACGTTAACGACGTTCAGTGCTGATTATAAGCTAGTGTTTTCCACCGGTGATGAACGCCAATGTCTTAAAAACCGTAGCTTTAGAGTCTATATCTTCTATTATCCACAAATAGCTAAAACAATAGGCCCATTCAGTAGAATTTTTTGCATATTACAAAAGTTTACCTTTTGTTAGTATGCCAAAAAGCAATTTTTTGTTTCAACGAGAAATGTGTTAAATAAATTAATGAAAACAGAGCGCGGAAAAACGTTGAGCAACCATTGTCTGACGTCATAATACCGGTACGGGCGACTGGCAGAACA